CTGAGCTGTTAGATTTAGTGTCCATTGTTGGGCTGGCATGTGGAAGTGGAAACTGTTAATAATTCTCCAGTGTCTGAAAGCAAGCACATACTATTGCCTTGTGTATGTAAGACATGGCTTTTCTGAGTGCCTGTGAAGTCTGTGCATTTGTAGCTGACTTGAGTGGCTTTGATCTCCTGCTATCTAAAAGCCCCAGTTTGTACAGTCACTGTAGTCTGTGCTGTAGCTCTCAGACTGGATTCATCCTGTGAAGCATTTCGTGTAGCTGATAGCTTGTTTTGTTTTCTGGTGGAGACAAAATAACTGTTTCAGTCCTGGGTGCTTCCCACAAATGCAGAACACTCTAGGGGAGAGCTGGGCAGAGCCATGGCTGCTGCTGTGTCCAGGTGCCAGGGGAACCACTTCCTGCTGCAGCAGGGGAGCAGCTCCCAGTAGCAGCTGACACTGTCCCCAGTCCATGTGTGGCTGGCAGGAGCATCAGATGAGCTCTCTGTGGTGAGTCAAAATGGTGCTCTTACTGCTGAGAGCAGGAGAAAAGGACTCCTGACTCACATGAACACCTGATGTGTGCATTGTGTGGAGAAAAATGATAAACAGAATAAATGCTAAGCTGTTGCCTGGAAATTTCATAACATGGGGACAGCAGACATGATCTAAACATTTCTGTTTAAGGCTGGGAAGATGATCCAGCTGTGATACTCAAGTATTTTAACATTGTGTGAGAAGTCAAAGCTACAAATTTGAGGTGGAGACACAGCAGCATTCTTAACACAGGTAATGGAAAAATATTAACAGAAACATGGGATGCTGCAGAGTTCAGGTGAAGAAAAGCTATAGGTAGTGGAGGGCTGGGAAAACTGCAGTGATGTTCCAGCACTTGTTCCTTTTCTAGAAAGCTCCACAACTCTGGATAGTTCTTCCCTCTTTATTCTTGACTGTATCTTTCCTTGTGTTCCTCTGGCTATGCAGTGGCAAAACTTATCATTTGGTGTATGGATCAGATGATTTTCGTTTGGGATGTGCCTTGTGGTATAATTCACTACAGCAGATGGAGTGTGCACTTGGTGTTGGGGACATCTCCTGTGACAGGTACTGCTGAGGGAAATAGATCCTGAGTCTCCATAATACCATGACATTGCTTAGACCATAATTCTCTGAGTTGCTTTGCTTTTTCTTTGTGGCATCTACATATTTTTACTAGGGGTACTGTTTGCAATTTTGCATGTCAGGGAAGATAATGGAAGTGAGTGGAGTTTAAAGCAACCATTTGTTATTTATAACTAGGTCAGGTACTTAGTCTGCCATGTGGCCTGGCATAGACAATGGAATGGGTATGTTAAGTCTAGGAATGAGAGGATCTCTATGCTGGCAGTGTTTCAGAAGACTTGTCTGTCAAACAATAGCTTTGATTTGTTAAATTTATTATCCATTAAAAATACAGATCAAACTGATCTAATGGTTGAAAACATTGCTTTCCTAAGAGTTGTGTGTGGATAGATGTTATGAGCCTGTATTTTTTAATGCATAATTTTATGTGTGTGAATGCTAAAGATACCTAAAAACTGAAATGGAGAGATACTCTAAAGTCTGCTTCATGGCATTTAACTTAGGGCAGGGCACTGAAAACACTTGCTGCCGGTGCTTGATCATGCTGAACACAATGTTTATGAGAACTGAAGAGCTTTTAGGACTCTGGTTAATATGCTTAAGTATCCATAGAGCAAGATTTTTTGTTATAATGAACATAGAACATGTTTCTCTTGTTTTTGAAATTCTTTGCAGAAACAATATACCAGAAATTACTGAAATTGCTGTAGAGAGTCTTATCAGTTTGATATTTTTTTCTTTCACTAGAGCATTTTGGTAGGTATGAATGTTGAGATAATTTTTTGTCTGCCTCACAGTCTGATGTGAAGCATACTGACTGGTATGTTGGTGTTAGGAAGATCAGGAGTATCAGAACCTAGACTGTCAAGGATTATGTTCGAATTTTGTTTCTGATAACTTGAAACCATTATCTTATTAGCAGAAATCCCTTTATTTACATAGTTACATACTCAGTGAGCACGGCAGCATCTGCAAGCAATGTAATTTGGTGTCTATGTGGAGTTTAAATAGGGATCTTGTTACATAGGAGCATATGCTAAGATACCATCTCTGGAAATCTACTTATCAAATTAAAAGATGGATTTCATGCTAAATACAACTTATCATTTCAAGTTAAAATTTAACTGACATTTATTATTATATTTCCACAGGGGAACTTAAGATTTTTCTGTAAGTGTTCTAGAGATTTTACTATTGCTGTGAGTTATTGAACTTTTCATTTCTTGAAAGTTTTCAGGGTAAACATGATTGTTTTATAATGCTGTCACTAATTATTTTTTTTTCTTTTGAAATGGATTGATAGTAGTAGGTTCAAATGGTCATTTTCATTTCAACAGATTCTTCACAGGAAGAAAGTTCAAACTTCAGTTTTGCTGTGCCAAATGTGAGGAGTTTGCCTCAGAGAATTCTGGGTTCTGTAAAAAGGCCTGTAGAGCAAGTCACAGTTGTGATCAGCTAAGTACATGAATTAGACATGTCAATCAAATGGGGTTTTGTGCTAATAACAGTTCCAAAGTAGTTTATAGTATTGTTTTATGAGATCTTTAATGCATTTTGCATTTGAGAAGTCAGTTCCTTGTTGGTTGGAACTGGAGGTGACTTGAATTTAGCTGGTAGGTTACATCCCTGGAAGGACTAGCTCTGAACATGGATTCATATTTGTGCTTCTTTAAGCAGAAAAACCATAGCAGAGGCTCACAATATTTAAAATTGCAGGTAGTTTTCCTTTTGTTCTCAAACACTTTGCCTGTTAATGAAAAAATACTGTGCTTGCTGGATTATACTCAGCTCCTCTGGAGATACAGTATACTAATGGAAATCAGCATTTTCTGCTTCTATAAATAGATTGGCAGCAGCTGCAGAGCCAAACAGGGGAGCTTCTGGTCATTTTTATTATTGCCATTGAGAAATGGTTTGAATGGCTGGGGAGTGTGCAGGCTGAGCTGGGGATGTGAGCAGGGAGAGGGGAAGAAAGAGTATTTACAAGCCAGGAATGGGAGAATAGAGGTGAAGAGCTTGATGATCTTCATTTGGGAGTCCTTAAGCTGAGTTTCAAGCTCTTTTATGTACAAGACATACTACTCAGCTGCTTAAAAGTCATAAGGTCTTACATGAGATCTGGGGATACCATTTTTCTAACTTCTTATTGTTGAATATAAGGCAACATTTATAATTGTGCTCTGTTGGAGAATATCCTCATACTGTGCCCTGAGAAGCTTCTAAAATTTTCAGTTCCATCTTTGTTGGTCTTGTTTTATCTTCTGCATGGGAGAGAAACACAGTGAGAATGCTCACTCCTGCAGTACTCCTCCTTCCTGCTGCATCGAGGCAGCTCTTGGGTGAACAGCAGCTGCTGCTCTGCTCCTTCCTAGCAGATGAGGAACTGGTACCAGTGCAGCCTGCTGACTGGTCAGCTGAGATACCGGTGTTGTTATGGATGCAGGAAGTTGTCAGGAAAGAAAAAGTATTGAGTATCTTTCATCTGAGCATTTAATTGAAGTCTTGTGCCTGTGTTTACATGTGTGGGATTTTTCCCCCCATGAAAGCTAGCAATCTTCTTTTAAGAATCTTACTACAAGGTCTTGGGAAACATAGAGGGCTATAGGAATTGGTTTTCTGAAATACAGGTACGCTTACTTTCTGTGCTTCTCAAAGTACATACAATACAATGGATGCTAGATTCAGCTTGTGCTGTAAGATACCCTGGGTATATAAAGCTGTGCTTTATATTCCCTCTTTAATAACAGCACATTTCTTGGATCTTGATACCCGACCTATGTGGATAATATAAGAAGCCAAGGAAATAATGAAATACAGTATAATAATGACGGGTGGGAGTAGAGAACATTTATCAACCGTTGCTTTAGAAACAGCACCATCAGCCTGTGAGACGGTTAAAGATCACCTAAAAGTGAAGTTCACTCTATACTGAAGCCTTGAAAACTGGAAAGTTTCTTAGCATCTTAATTGTATGTTTTACCAGTGCTTTAATCTGTATTCTTTGTACTGGATTACGTCTTAGTGATATTAACTATTTTTCAAGGAGAAACACAGAACCCTAGCAATTAGATTCTTAGTTTATTGTTTTTAATGCTGTTTGAAAAGTATGTCTGTTTTTAAATTTCTAATGGATATCTTGTCTGTTGATAGCCTAAACACTTTTAGGTGCTCTACTACTAGAAAAATGGATCATACTAATTTTTATAGAAGTATTCACAATGTGAAAAAGTACAAAATATGTTTAAGAAGGAAACATGGACTTACCCTTTTTAAAAAGGATTCCTCTCACATTGTATTCAGCTACCATCTTGCGGGAATAATTATAGTTTATTCACTGTGAATGACTATTTGTAACAACAATGAGGTCTAAATGATTAGGAGAGATGAGGAATATGGTATTTAGCAGCTCCTTGTAGGCTGTTAGGAGTTATAAACGAAGTACCAAGTTTAGAGAAATGAAACAGTTCTAAACTGCATAAAATCTAAGATAGGTGTCTCAGAGTGCTTTTTAAGTAAATTGCTAAAATACTGAATAAGAAGTTGGACTTTTTTTCAAGAAAAATCCAAGTATATTTCTAAGAAGAAAAGGAGCTTAATTCTTCTTAGAAGGTGTAGAAACGCTTAAAAAAAGATAGGTGTCTCAGAGTGCTTTTTAAGTAAATTGCTAAAATACTGAATAAGAAGTTGGACTTTTTTTCATGAAAAATCCAAGTATATTTCAAGAAGAAAAGGAGCTTAATTCTCCTTAGAAGGTGTAGAAACGCTTAAAATACGAAGGTAGTATCTTTTGTGGAAAAACAGTAACTTTTATTTAAGACAGGCAAAAAATTTATTCCAAGAATCTTTTTGTGAAAGACTTCATAGTAAATAAACCTTTTCTTTGTGTTTTTCAGTCAGCAGATAAGCAGCGAGCCCTGGAAGAAACCAAAGCCTACACAACGCAGTCGTTAGCGAGCGTAGCCTATCTGATCAACACTTTGGCCAACAATGTTCTCCAAATGCTGGATATCCAGGCATCCCAGCTCCGGCGCATGGAATCTTCAATCAACCACATTTCACAAGTGAGACTTTTTTCTTTTGCCTTTGATATTTCATAGCAAGTAAAACTCTGAACTGACATCTCATGAGCGAGAAGAATTTAAAACAGAAGGATGCATTTCTTCTCACACTCATTCTGGGATTGGGTCTCATCATGTGATTCTATACCAGAGTTAGCATGAGCATTTGACATACCAAAGCAGGTTAAATGCATTCTCAGCCAGATTATTGTTTGGAGAGGGGGTCATTCTGCATAAGTGAAAAGCACAGAAAAATGGCTAATGGTAAAATGAGAATATTATGTTAAATATTAAATGGATGGTGGAAAACAGTACACCTCATCTTTTCACTTTTTCTGTTGCTGTAGTACTGGCATCTGATGACAACAGCATGGATGACAAAAAATTTGTTTCTGGCTTTTCTTAATATAATGTACTTTGCAGTGATATGAACAAAAGCCAAAATTAATGTTTCAATTTGTGTATGGCTGCAGAACTCCTGCCATTGTTTGCAGTTTTTCTGAGCAGCAGTAAACTAAGCTACTATAATCGGGAGCCCAGGTTCAGTCACCACATCAATGAGAGAATTTGACTGCCAGAATGGGCTGAGAATGAATGAATATAAAAATGGAGATTTACCAGCCACTGATGGATTAAAAGAGAAATTAAAAGCAGTGATACAGCGGGTTCTGGTTTTTGTGTCTGTTTACTGGATATTTTGTGTCTTAATTGACCAATACATTTTGGCTGCTAGGGTTTCTTGATCTCCATACGATAATATAAATTAAAATAAAGAATACTGTGTTATCTAGAAAAACATTTGGAAGTAGAACTGTGTAAGGTAGGAAATAAGTGAATGGATTGGATCTGTTTGAACCAGCAAAATAAGTGAATAATTTTATGCTGGTTTAGTGGGCTGAATTGCCTCTGATTGGGTCAGGGGAATCCCAGGGCAAGTACAAAGAAAGAGGTGGGGAGGATTTCCTTTTTTGATAGTGCTGTGCTATTAGATTGCTTTAATTGTCTCATGGATCTGCATCAAAAATAAGCTTTGATTTGTTTTGTTAGATGCTCCATCATTACCTGGACAAGTAAATTAATTTTTTCCCCAGAAAATGTTATGAATTATCCTGTGTATGCCTGTGTGCTATATCTATATGCCCTGTGTGTGTATGTGCTTTCTCACAGGCTGGTGCCAGCTCACATGTGTTCCAGCTGTTTGAGAGCCTGGTGCAAAAGGCAGTATATTTGCATTTCATGAGTGTGGAAAATTCATTTTGTCATACAGCTTCTGTAAAGTAGCTTTTGTGGAAAGAGTCATAGCATTTTAAATTTTTTCCTCCTGAGAAGGTGACATTTATGCAGATTGAGAGCTAGGTCAGATTGTCTTTGACCTTTATACAATACAGCTAGTTATTTAAAATAGAGCACTAAATTAGCAATATCCCAACACTTAATGAAGATGTATCTGCAACATTTCATAGGTTGAGCTTGAACAACTAAAAAAAATCTGAGATTTTTTTTTAAATACTGCTATAAAATTGAAAATCTAATTTGTTTGGGGGGATTTTTTGTGTGGTTTGTTTCGGGTTTTTTGAGCCTTTATCATCTGTATGTAGCATGCTCTCCAAATCTTTATGGAAGAAATAATACCAGAGGAGCTGACAGTATTTAAATTTTGGGTATTACATACATGAAGTGTATTGATCCAAGTAACTTCATTAAGTTGAGTTAATGTGTTTGGAAATGGCTTTCTCCCATAATACCAATGTTGTAGATTAGTGTATTATCTGTCTTAATTTCCAGGGTTATTTTTCTTAAAAATTATTTTATACTGTTTCTCTATAAATAAATAATTTATTTTCAAGAAATTTGGTTATAGTTCTCCTAGAATTGTCCTAATCTGCAGAAGGTTTCTTTGGTGTTTATGTTGGGTGTAAAGTTTGGTGAACTTTTTCTAACAGTACTGAAAATGAGTTGTGGTGTAATACCTCACTGCCAAACTAGGATTTCAATCAGACTGACTTGAAATGAAGTCAGTAATATAGGACAGAAAACAGGTTGATAATTACAGATGGTAAATTAATTTTTGCATTAATGCTTTGGTCAATAGGTCTTGGTATTTAAGTTTAGAAAACATTATGTGTAAATTTGATACCTGGATGGAATCCTGCTTTTAATTCTCATTTGGGATTCCACACATGCTCCAAAGAAGGGAGCGGAGTCATTTGGTGCTTGGTATGAAATTTTTTCCCAGAGTGCTTGTTATGTACAAGTAGCTCAGACTGGGAGAGGTGTGATTAACTTTGTAAGATAAAATGCTCTGGTTCTCTGTTCATTGGTAGAACGCCAGTTTAATCCCTTTCTGTGTTTCCTTCTAAATGCCAACCTAATCAAAGAGCTGAAAAGGAAGCTGATAATAATTTGTGCTTTTTCAAGTTGTGTATAGGTTGTGAATAAGGAAATTGTTACTATTGAAACTATTTTTATGCAAGTGATTAAATCCTATTGGTTTAAAAATTAGAATTACTTTGGTTCAGTCTGAAAGCTGATGAATCTATTCTTACTTGCCTTCTTGAACCTTGTCCAGAACTAGATGATACACAATGTTTCATATTTGACTACGAATTTAAATCTTAAATACAGATAATATGTACAAATATTTATACTTGTTCAAAAAATTATCTTGCAGCTTTCAAGTTAACAGTCACTATGAAATGTTACTAACGTCCAAATTCTTTAAATTAATCTGGCAGATTTTCAGGTTTTATTATTTGTGTGATGAGAAATGTTTTTTCAGGTTTAGCAAGGTCATTTGAAAAACTCTGCTGCTAGTTATATAAACAAGCATGTTGTCACAAAGATGAGTAGCAGTGATGAGCTTTCTCCAGTGGCACTGTGTTGTGGGGAGGTCGGCTCCATCCTCCCCTGACAGAGTGACTGCCACGCTCTTGGCTGAGAGAGCAGGCATTGGACAGGCTGCAGCCTTGGATTCTCTGCAGGCAGCAGCAGCTGCAAAGCTGGGCTGTAGCAACATCTGCGAGCTGCTCAGTCTCTGCAGGGAAGTTCACTTGGACCTTCCACTGAAAAGTCAGTACAGGTTTGTGACCTTTCTCAGTTGTCTTATTCTTGCAAGGCACAAGAATAGCAAAACACTTTAAAAGTTGTGATGCAAGGCCAGTTTTGCACAGGGCATGTTACCTATTTATGGAACAAGTAGTTCTTCAGTATTTTTACAATATTATGATCTCTTTTTTTTGGTGTATAAATTACATGCAACTTGAGACAATTAATGTCATATTTCCTACATGTCAATATTAGGCAGTTGCTAATTTTAAAGTAATAATCCAGTTTTCAAGGTAATGTGCAATTAGTTTGAATTGTCTCAAATTAAGATTAATAAAAATAAAAGTCCAGCAATACTATATTTAAGCAACATTTTCTTCTAAGATTTTTGAAATGGAATTTTAAAACCGTAGACTACCAGACTGACAGTTAATTTATAAATTTAAATTAGAATGGTTTGAGAAGAGGAAGAAATGAAGGCTTCTGGAGACTCTTATCTCTGAAATTTCACTCTTATTCAGACTTTCAGCATGCTTGTGGTTGTGGTTTAACCTCAGCTGGCAACTAATCACCACATGGCTGCTCACTCACTTCCCCCTAACGTAGAAAATCAGAAGGGTAAAAGTGAGAAAACTTGTGGGTTGAGATATGTACATATCTCTGTAATGATGATGGTGATAATAATAAAGAGAAAACTAATATTTAGGAGAGAAATCCAACCCAGGAAGAAAGGCTGCAGATGGAAGCGTTGCTCAGCAGCAGCAGCTGAGTGCTGCCCAGGCAGCCCCCGGCACAGCCCAGCCCGGGGCTGCTGACCCTGAGGCCGTGCGGAGCCTCATCCCCTGGGCCAGCAGGGCAGCTGTCCCAGCTGTGTCCCTCCCCACCTTCCTGTGCACCCCAGGCTGCCCAGGGGTGGGTGGGATGGGGAGCACAGAAGGCCTTGACTCTGTGCAGTCGCTGCTCAGCAGTAACTAAAACATCCTGGAGTTATCAGCTCTGTTTACAGCACAAATCCAAAATATCGCCCCATACTGTGAAGAAAATGAACTCTGTCCCAGCCAAAACTAAAGTTAGTTAAATGCTAACTTAATACTTTGAGAAATTTTGTTTACTGGTAGAAGAGAATATTTCTCAAAACTCATGACTTCAGTGACTTTTAAGTGAACTTGTAAGTAGTGTTAACTTTCCCAGAAATTATTTCATGGGTTTTTTTCATTTTTAATATTTGCAGTGCTTGAGACTGGCTTTTTTGAATTCAGTGTGAAAACCTGACTTTTCAAAATGGCCAGAAAATTCCTAACAGAAAAAAATGTGGTGGTTCATATTTATTTTTCCTCTTAAGCTGTCCCTTGGCTATTGCAGGGATCTTGGAAAGCATATGAAAAGATGATAGTAATGAGCCTAACCTCTAAGAAACTGTCACATAAAAGCTTTTGCCAAAGCTTATGGAGATATGTGAAACAAATTTTTAAAAGCATAGTAATGCTGTCAGGCATCCAAATTTTTTTTGTTAGAAAGTAGGGTTTTAAGTTGTAGAAGGGCACAGTGTATCCCATCTGCTTTTCATAACAGAGTTTTCAGGCCAGGTGTTTTGTTAGTACAGCTCTAACCCCAAAAACTTCTCATCAGAACTTTCTAAACTGATGAATAAACATTTTGGTGCATTCTCCTGTCTTGATAAGGGATTTATGTTAGTGCTGGAGGTAATAATTACCTGTGTGTTGAGCATAATGTTTTCATTTTCTTTAGTAGCAGGTTAATCTTTGTTACCTCCTCTACTAATGGAATACTGCAGTGTTCCTTTGTGCTATTTTATGGGTGTATTAGGATCTCATGACTTCCACAGTCTACTAAACAAGAAAATGAAATGTTTGGAAAACTGCCAGCATAATGCTTTTCAATACCATGTGTGGACCAGAATTGGGTGCAGTTTGTATACATTTAGTCATTCTGTAGCTATTTAAGTTAAAAGAGATGTTCTGAATCATAATGCAAGGGAAATCCCACCAGATGAGCTTCAGGTTTTAATTAGGTTTTCTGCACTTCATTGTTTGTTACTGTAGTCGTGCCTCATGATCACCATAGTCCTTAAGGAAGCTGGTTGTGCCCATGGCTCCTATTGAAAACCCACTCTTCATTAATGGAAACAGCTTTGCACAGTGCCAGGATGCCATTGCTACAGTCGCATGAGCATTAAATATCTGTACTTGCATTATGTTAGTAGATAATTACATCAGAAAGTACTGAAAGAATGAACGTATTCAAAGTCGCAAAGTTCTAGCACTTGAAATAGAAAGTGAGAAATCATCTTCCCAATCCTGCACTAATAACTTTCTTTTTGATTTCTGGATTGAAATTAAGGCTCTGAGTGCAATATCCAAGGCATGAAAATGGTTTTGAAGGACCAGATTCAGACCTATAGAATTTTGATGTGCCAGTACATCCTGAAGTGCAGCTGCTATTGCAGCTGAATCTAACATTCTAGCAAATGGTGTCAGGGGCCTGTGAGACAAAAAACATTCAAAAGTCATGTCTCTGCAGTTCTCCAGTGACATATCTGGACCACAGATGAAGTCTGCAGCAGAAATTGAATTCATCACTGGTGTATCAGTCATGAGACTGTCCCCCCAAGTTGTTGCCATCACATATCTTCAGCTTCTTAAGACACTATGTGCCCTCTGACTGGTGAGATGAGGAGCCTGTAGGCCATCTTTCCAGAATGTGTGCTTCTATTCCCTATGCTGCAAAAACAAAGGTCTAGCACAGAGAAGGGATAAAAGCCTGAGATGGAAGATAAAATCTTACATCTTACTCTGATGCAGAATGGTGTACTTTAGGTACTCTGGCCTGGAAAACGTTGTTGTGCTCTGTTTGCACTTGTGCTTGTACCATAAATATAGCACTGTAAGAGCTGTATTGGGGGTTGGTGTATAGTCCTGGGCATCTTGGGGAGCATCAGAAATGACCTTTGCAAAATTAATTGGAGAGTGGTTTAGTTGTTAAGTAGCTGCAGAAATACATGTGTTTCTGTAACACTTGTGTGAACCCTAAATTTCTGCAGAATTTATATATTGGCCAAATCTGGATGGTTTTTTTTGCGGGTGTCCCAGGTAGTTTAACCACCCCTATTAAATTCATTGCTCAACAAACTTGATTTGCCAAATACATTTGCCAAAGAGAGATTTGCCAATACATTTTGACCTTAAAATCTCTTTTTCTGTAGCTTTATTTTAAGAAATAACTATGCAACTTCAGTGGAAACCTTACAGTTCTAGGCAGGTGGAGCTAGAGTGGCAGAATGCATATGACAAAGCTGTAGTCAGTGCCTAATTTTAGCAAAGTTACAAAATCTTGAAAATACATTGCTGGGAAATAGTATTGTAAGCTCGCATATAATAATATAATCAATATAATAATTGATAGTACTGTAAGCTCACATATAATGCTCCAGGTATTTGGGGAAATCCTTCCCTGGAAAAAATGCAAAGGAACAACTTCTTGGAAGTAGTTTGGGGGTTGCTTGGGGTTTCTAAAATTTTTTTTGTCATTTTAAAGGTTTTGTTGGTTGTTCAAGTTATCACAAGTTCCATTAGCCTGTTTTTGTATCATCAGTACCACAAAGAGCAGGGTAAAAGAGTGTAGCCAACCCCACTGCCCCAGTGCCTACCCACAGAAAAACAAAATAGACAAAAATGTGTGTTATGAAAATGAGTTCTCATTTACTGCAAAGCCTTGTTCAAAACTGTGAAAAGTGTTTCTGGTGCCATTCATGATCACTGAAGTGGTAACAAGAAATCTGACTGTTTAGAAATCCTTATGGTGGTGGTTCTGGCTTTTGGTTCTGGTTTTTACTTTTGTTTTTTGTCCTGTAGCTAAAACCTTTGTTCACAGTTTAGCTAATTTCATATAGTGAAAGCTGTCTTGTGAACAAGCAGTTATTTTTGGTTTAAATAAGGCAAGGAACTCCATGGCCCATGATTTAAGATGTTATATTTTCTTGGAAGAGATAAGTGGACTTTTTGGTAGCATTGTCTTACTCTTGCTACCTAAAAAGATTCACATACATGTTTTTAGGCAATGTATTTTCATCAGGACTTTGTCTTACACCAAAATTCTCCTGTTGTACTGATTTTAGTATATAAATTGGGCCCTGGGCATCCAAAGGGAAGGCAATGGGCTTAACCTCTGGCTTTATTGTGCATATATTAGTATGGAATGTATTCTAAAATTTAATCATTGCTTTGTGATGAGTGAGTTTTAACAACCAAAACACTTTCTTGATTTGTCTAAGTGAATTTTTTTTCTATCATAAGATTACCAGTCCTAATTTAGCAAACTTTTGCAGTGCAAGAAAACCTGCTCATGGTTTGTTTTTCAGGTCTTAAAATCATGGTTTGGGAAGGCATCCTTACACTTTATCTAGTTGAAGCCTATGTCAAAGACAAGCTTAGAGAGCAGTTGTAAAATCAAAAAGGATAAGTGAAGGCATCTTATAAAACAGTGTCAGTAAATTGATGCAAGAATGGAAGGAGAAGGAATTTTTTGAAACTGAAAGAGTGAGGGTAACAGAAAACCCAAAGAACCCCCAGCTGTTAGTGTGGCTTTAGAGGTGGCAAATTCAGCAGTAAGTTGAAGAGGTTGTAATCAAGTATATGTAGTGATATGTTTAGTACAGTGTAGAGATCTTTGAAGCACTAGAACTGATTTAATATTTTTTGATACTGACTCTGTATTCCAATGCATACCACTGTTAGTAAATACACTGCGTCTTTTGTAGACGGTGGACATTCACAAAGAGAAAGTTGCTAGAAGAGAAATTGGTATCTTGACTACAAACAAAAACACCTCAAGAACTCACAAAATCATTGCACCAGCTAACTTGGAGCGACCAGTTCGCTACATCAGGAAACCTATTGATTATACAATTCTAGATGATATTGGACATGGAGTGAAGGTAGGTGATATTGTTAAAACAGCCAAACTGCAAATTCATTGTCTTTGTATATTTTCAAAATAACCTGATGCTTTTCATGGTAATATACCAGTTTCTCCTTGCCTGGACAATGTGTCTACAAACATGAGAGGAGTCCTGTCTGATTTCCAGTTGTCCCTTCCCCTTCTCTTGTCCCAGTGTTTCTAAATGTTGCAAACTCACCGAATCTGATTTCTGATTGGGACTGTGAGCCTCACCTTCAAAAACGGTTCTGAATATCAACTTGTGTGATGCTGCTGTTATTGCCAGGGATAAATATGGGGGCTGAAGGGCTGATAACCATCACTTCTCTGCATGAATTAGCACCACAGAGCGTGATCCAGCTGTAATTGTCACTGGTTTACTTTGACCCTCACGTAAAGGAAAGGTTTGCATGAGAAATGTTATGGGCTCCCTTTTCTTCTTTCTGCCAGGGTCAGTTATACACAAACCCACTGATGTGCTTTGTTAAAGGGAGCTCTACAACTTTTGTGCCATATGGTTTTGGGATGGGAGTGTTACTGCCAAGTTTAAAGCCAGCTGATTTTTCCCTTGCCAAGACAAGGAAAAAAGAAGGAATTTCAGGGCAGAGATCAGACTGAGACACAGCTAGTGGCTGTTAGATCAATGTACACAGCAGCAGTAATATAATGTGTGAGGTTAGGTATGTGTTTTAAAAAACATATCCTGAATATAAACACAGTCTTAGCAGGTGTGAGCTCATTGTTAACTTGTGCTGCCAGGAAAACAACTACGGAAATGAGAACACTGACAGTATTAAAGTTCCAGGAAATGAAAGGTAAATAGCACAAAGTGATGTCATTTTTACAAGGCAAACTAACAAATCTGTAAACCTGCTACGTAGCAGTAAGGTAAGATGCTTCTTCCAGTCAAAGTACACCAGAATTTCTTTTGCTTGACTTGTAACTGGATATCTCTGTTGTCCTATTTGATTTGTCTGCCTGGTTGGCCATTTGAATGGCAATAGGTTGTTTAACCTAACTTTTAAAATTCAAATTCTGAGCAGTTTGATTTAAGTATCTTTCCCCAATTTTACTTAAGGTCTTTTCAACATCCTGTTTGTTAACTGGGAAGTCTCCTTCCTCCCATCTCTTACCCAAAGAATCAACCTCTGAACAGATTTTAAAATAGACAAATAAAAAAGCATACCAAACTTTAATAACTACAGTTTTGACCAGGAAAGTATTACCAGTTGTGTGTTAAAATCTGCTACCAATTTTGAATTTATGCAGGTCAGCAGATCTCCTTGTGGATATGGATGGAGCATATGAACCTGTAGGATTGCTGTTGCTAGTATTTTAATCATCACTTTTTGGTTTAGGGAGATAATTTTAAAACTCATTAAAGAGTAGTTTTTAATTGCTCTGCAGCACCATTGTATTTAGAACTGGCTCTAAATCATTATAATTGGTATCCCACTTACCTCAATGTAGCAGTCATACTAAGATGCAATGAATTATGTTCTTCTAAAAGAACATAGTTCATCAAATGGATGATGACTCAGGTGTGTTTTACATCCATTTGTTATGCTTGTGATAGACTTAAATTGTATTTACCATGTACTGTGTTTATCTAGAAGATGAATAAATATTGTGAAATACTTGTGAAACAATAGCCAGAGAACTTGAAGTCATGCTATCCTTAAGATTGTAAATGTGTTCCAGTTAGCTTAATCCTGTGTTTAGGACAGAAGAAAGAACTGCTTTCTTGCTGATGAGGGAAAAGGTGGCCAGTTGTGCTTATGAACTAGTTTTTGTTCTGCTTGAGTAACTCCAGATTAGTTTATTAGATCTCTGGCTCTAGAACAGAGAGAAAAAAATGAAATCTATAGATGCTTTAAATTTGTGTGTATATAGCTCTTTACTGTTTGAGCTGTGATACCTTTCCCTTCAAGTGAGCATTCAGAAGGAGTTGTTGTATAGACAGCGTTGAAGTACCAGTTAGCATCAGGGTTCCTCAGTCTGCATTCTTTGTCCTTTTTCTGCTGAAGGGCTTCTGCTCCAGTACTTGGACCTGGAATTATGTATTTTCAGGCTAGGCAAAATGCTGATGCAGCAGACATTCATTGCCACCCCTGAGAAAGATGGCAAGCTGGACAGAATAACGCAGGCATAACAGGGAGGCTTCTTGGCTGAGAAATTCAGTATGTCATGCTGAGAGAAGTGGTACAGGCCCCTAAGCATCTTCTTCCTTCCATTCAGAAATCTGAAGCATAGTGGAGACAATGTTCAGGAAGGGTTGCTCTATAGTATGGTTTCTGAATAGATGTGAGAGAAGTCAAGTGCTTCTGTATCATCTCAGCAGTTCTTCCTCATTTTCCCTCCCTGAAGCTACAATGCTGCAAAAGTCTAAAGAATCTTTCATGTGAAAGAGAGTTGCTTTCAATTTTTTTCAAATGTTTCCCAAGTTAGAGAGTCTTCCAACCTATTATTCCTGCCAAAGAGTTCTTAAGTCAAGAAAATGGGAAAAAATAAGTGTTCCCTTCAGAGAGGTGTGTACTAAGGCATTGTAGTTACCAGGCAGTGCTGCTGAGGTCTCTGCTGATGGACCTCCCAGTGTAACTGACCACTGGGGCCAGTACAGGGGGACCTGGTTTTCCAGTACAGCTGTACGAGGCAGAGACCATATTGGTAAATTGATCCACAGAACTTTAAACTCTAAAACAGGAGATTTCCTAGTAAATCAGGTTATGTTTCTTCTTAGTAGAGAAGGGTCTCTCCTAAACTGATGGAACAAATCAGTCACTCTGCATGCTCTACCATTTATCCAAATATTTAAATAATTATTTATTTGAATATTTAAATATTTACCTGAATATTTGCTGTTCAGTGCTGCAGAAAGTTTAACAAATCTAATTGTACATTTAGATGAATTGAACTAAAACCAGATCATTCAAAGGGAAAGACAAGTAATTTTGAAAGAAATTACTGTGGAGAAAGATGTATGATATTGTGCCAGTAAGATGCAGAACTTAGTGTCAAAAGCTAGCACTTAGGCTTTAAAGTAAGATTTTGCTGTTGATTAATGTCTTACTTCAGGAAATGTGGATATGTGATACAGTATCCATCAAGAGTGCTCTACTTCTTACAAGATGGAATGATTTGCTTTTGATCTTTGTTCAAGAGAGATCTCATGGCATCAAGTTAACTAACAGCATTCTCTATAAAAGAACATGCATTAGCTTAATATGTTAGAAGCTTCCATTTCAGCTACTTGTAAATGTGCTAATGCATGTAAACAATTTAAATGAGCTCAGACTCATTGATAAGGCTCAAATAAAGCTTTGACAGCTCAAATAAATTAATCTCTGAAGTTAATCCATCTAGATCTCATGATACATTTTGAAAGAAGCTGCCTTTTTGTTGGCACTGTCAGAATTTGAGTAAACAGTGTACAAGCATTTGAATGCTAATTTTAAAGTAATAATTTAAAGGCTTTGTAGTCAATGTATATTAAAATTTTCAGCTTGAAGACCTTTTGTTCATGACATTCTGCTTTAACCACTCTTTCTATGATCTACTGATACATTATTTTGTTAATGCTGAATGCTTAACTTTTTTCTTTCTTTTTCCTTTCTCTTCATATCCTGAAGTTCCAACTAACCTTTCAATGCTTTTTTTCCTTACCTCTTTTATTTGCTCCATTTATGCATTAAGTGGTTGCTTAGATTTAAGGTAAGAAACCCCAGGGCTGGATTTCCATTCTTCTTCTGAGATTATTACACACGGGGAGATGATTGACACCAATGCTACAGATTGTTTAAAACAACACCCGCTCTCCCTTCTGTGTCACAGAACTTCTGTTGAGTCACTCATTGTGGATAAGCATTTTGTGATATAAATTGATGTGTACATGAATGGAAGTTAACACAGTTAATTTTAAAAGCTTTATGGTCAAATATTAGCTGCCCTCAGCATATCTAGCAGATCATTTATGAGGGAGGGATGTTGTGCTAGCCTTGAGTAGACAAAATGTACATGGACTAGATAGCAGCTGAATATGAGCCTCCCCCTGTGTAATATTCTTTTTATCCTATATACGGTGTAAGTTACGGTTTGATTTGGATTAATGTTTCAGTGTGAGATTGCTCAGATAATGGGCTCCAAAGGTGTTTAACAAATTCAAATCTGTATATTATTTTTTAAAGTTGCAGTATTCTTATTTTTTCAGAAACTGATAGCAGTGCTTAAATACTCAGAGGTACTCATCTGTGGAAACTTATAGAAATTTCATAATTGTGTAAAATACTTAATAACTGTTAAACAGCAAGATAAATTATTTATTTAATTGAATATTAAATGAATAGTGCATCAAAGAACTCAGGCTGAAGTATGTCAAATTCTTTAAATGTTAGTAGTCTTAGTGGCTGCAGAAGCAGCAATAAAAAGCATCAAATCAATTAGACAAGCAGTTAAATTAAGTTACATGATATTATGGTGGAGTTCATAGTACATTAATTAATAGGTAGGTTATAGGCTTTATTGAGTATGAATATCCTCCTCCTCCTGAAGTGCAGCTGGTTTGGGGAAGGAGGGACTGGAAGGTTTTTAGTAGCAGGTGCCACCATTGTAATGAAGGAACTGTATTTTAGAACATAGAATGCCAGTATATAGAATGAGTATATTAATTAAAGGAAGTTCCAAGCTGACGTGAAATATTTTAAAGTATTTTCTATGCTTGGAAAAAGCTAAAAGAAAATCCTGCAAATTCCTGAGATTGCTTATAACACCAAGTGTTTCTGTAGATATGTCCATGATGTCCCTGTGAAATAGGACAGATGGTACTTTTAGTCAGGTATTTAAGTATATGTAGCATCTCTGATAACAATGGAAAACTTGTAATTTATGAGAGAATTCTCACATGTTATTTGAAATTTATTTTTACAAAGGTATGTGAGGTGTACAGTATTTCAACTCAGCATTTACATGCTTTTGAGAATGGCAAAATATGTCTTCTCCCTGTTTTTTACTGTCTGTTTACATAACATGGGTACTTTTGATGCTGAATATGTCTTATTCTGGGCACACTTAATATTGGATGATGGTTTTCTCATTGTTCTTTAAAAAGCAATTTGCAAACTCAATTTTCTTTGTTGATCTCTGCAGTTGCAGTTTATAAACAAGTAATGACTGTACTAAGAAAAGTTTTTAAATTGTGCAATTACAGATTGTATGTGAGCTGAAATACCTGTGCATTATCTGCAGTGGCAACTAGAGTTTTGTACAGCTTTTCAGAGTAAATATTTTTTCCTGTTTATAGGTTTGGAATGAAACCATTTTTTGTTATAACACCATTTCTTTATTTACTAGAGTGAACCCAGTCAGGAATTTGATTTGAGGAATCAAACATGTCAGTCAGCTTCTCATTGGCAAAACATGAGGGTTTAAAAGAGAGAATGAAAAAGGCAAAAAGCTGTGCATCATCTCTCAGTAGACCTGAGTTACTCTTGGTCTCACTGTAGTCCCTGTGCATCAAGCTGAAAGAAGAGTGAAAAGCAGTTAGTAACCCCAGTTCTGTGTGAATGGTTATTTTACTTCACTTAAAAGTGAATGGATATGAACTGTTTAGCTTGCTTTTCTTTTTTGTGACTGCAAAAATCCCTTAGCCTTACCTAACAGCTATGATATTAAACTGACTGACTGTAGCATTGGATTTGTGCCTGAGTAACTTAAATTTTAAACAGATTTTGAAGAAAATGTCAGTTACAAGGCAGAGGAAAATCAATTGAAAATTACATTGTTTAAGCCTTTTTGTATTCACCATACTTGGCTCTTCAGTTATTTTGCATGGGTGGATGTGGTAAAAACAAGTAAGCTCACTTGCTTGAAGCTTCTGCTTGTGGTCATTTGCCAAAACAGGGCTGAAATTTATACATTTTGCTTCCAGATAAACTGGTTAATGAGCTGACAAGCAAATGGTGTGATTAGACATGCACAGTAAGTATTTGAGTGGCTGAGCACAGCCTGAAAATAAATTTACTTTGAGGTAGCAGATGATGGGCCAAAAATCTATTAATCATCTCTGTAGCATTAACAAGATGAAGCAAGGCATGGAAGGGAGTTTTCATTCAGCCTTGGGGTGTTTTTTCCCGTAGTTGGATATAAAATTGCTGAAGAAGGTTGAGGAACTGCCTGAAGGTTCTGAATATAATCCGTTAAACATCACTGAGGGGACACTTTTCCTTACTAGGTTTTGGGCAAAAAATTATTCTTTTGTTATCCTGGAAGTTCTAGAAAATACAGTGTGAATTTAAAGCACCACTTAAAAATTTGCGGCTGTGTCCAGCTTTAGAAGTAGCTCCTCCTGAGGTTTTATAGTGTTGAATATCTGGTATTCAGGATTTGTGGGAGGGGGGATCAACCAACCAACCAAAGATAAGCCAACCCTCCAAAAAGCCCTCCTTGCTTGCTGTCTTGCAGGTAAGTGCCTCATGTCTGTAAAAATGCAGGACATTGATGCAGTTGGTTTTGCAGTCTTGACCAGCTCCCATATCTCACCAAATATGTATTTCTGCACTTCCTGATTTTTTTTTTTTTTTTGCTTGGGAAAATATTCCCAAGAATTAAACTGAATGAACAGCATAATTTATCTGTTTTAGCTGATTTATTTCAATACAAATTCTTTATACAGTGGAGTGCTAAAGAAATTCACTATGTTACATGCTGATAAGTATGAAGGAAACTCAGTCATATGTAGGACCATAAGATGGTATTTTAATAACTGAAATCTATGAAAAACTAGTTGCCAAAAATAGAAATTGGCCAATTAAGTCTTAATTATTAAAAAAATTAAGAGGGTAGTTTTTCTGAATGCTCTAGTCAGTGCCATATTGTGTCTTAAAGTCATCAGATGGTACCTTTCTAAAACTGTAGCTCAACAATAGAAAATATTGGATGAAGTACTATTGCACCCTTTTGAAACAGAATGGTCCATAGAGATCCATTTCTTTACAGATCTCTTTATAGCTGTTACTGTGGGGCTGGATCCCACAGCGTTTTCTAGGATGACTGACTTACCAAGGATCTGCTTATTAGGTAGTTTCTGTAGTTTCTTCCTCAGCAAAACTTCCAATTCTGGCTCCAGTGCTGACAAAGTTACAGCTTTGGTAGAAGATATTTTTCTGTGGTGAGTGAGCTTGCTAATTCATCTATAAAAAGCTTCTGCAAGGTATCCAGTAAAAAAAAAAAAGAACAAAAACTTAACCAAGATCTTTTGGTGTTCCACTACTTGTGTTGGTAATTTTGGGTTTTGTTTGTTTTTTTTTGTTTTTTTTTTTCTGTGAAAGAGGAAGAAAAAATCATTTGAAAAATCCCTGCATGCATGAGGCACATACCCTGTGCCCTATTGTCTGTTTACAGGGTTGTCTTCCTGCTTTTGCATCAGTCAGCTGTGGTTTTTTCCTGAGCTTTGTGCCCAAGTCATTACTGCCTCTCTTTTTTTTTTTCTGTTCTAAACACAGTGGTTGGCTGGTTAACTGTGCAGTTGTGAGCAAAGGCACAGACAGATACTCCTTTATGTTTCTGGTTGCAGGCTCTCTTTTGCTATGCATTTTCTTAAGATGATTTCCCAGATTTAAACTAGAAATCAGCCCCAGCCTGTGGGGCTGAAACAAACCACCATCAGACAGATGCATTCCTCTGCTTCCACCCTCTCATTAAATCAGCTGCATCTGGGTAGTTCCAACTGTGCAGAACCAGGGGAAATAATGTCTGAAACAGTGCAACTTCTGGCAAATACCAGCTTACTTCAGAAAAACAATTTTTTAAACTTGACAGCAAATGCAAATGTGACCTTGAGTTCTGGTGGTTGCTTCAGATTTTAGATGTTTGTAAGAGGGATGTGTGTGGGTGAGGATTTGTGTATGGAAACTGTATTTACAACCATATGTACAAAATAGAAAAGGCAATACAGTAAAGTTTGGAAGAGAGGAGGCATTAATGGCCTTCCTTCCCCTCTAGTAGAAATTGTTATAGAAGGAGACAGATGTGTATATTACAGTGCTTTAATCTCAGTTGTAGTTGGTGCAGTTTTAGATTTTTTTAGCATCTTGCATGCTCTTATTTCCAAGGGTCTGTCCATTTTGGTCAGAACTGTTGAAACAATGGTATCTTTTTAATTTCTCTTCTGTGATTATTTGGCAGTAAGTCAAAGGGGAAGTTAGTAGCACAGGGTTGTTTAACTTAGAGTAGCTGATCTTAAAGCTATCAGTCCTGTCAGATTTGAACACAACCTTGTAAATTCTGGTTACTTGCTCTCTGAACAGTTCAATTTCAATGTTGAAAAGTCATTTCAAAGACCCTGAAACTAAACCTACTGTCAGTAAATTTCCTCATCTCTCAGGTTGGGATTTTTTAAGGATAGGTTCTTTTTACTAAGTTCCTGGGCTATAAAGGGGTCATTTTTTGTTTGGCCACATTTTCTAAAGCTTTCTTCCCATTCTGTTTCCTCCACCTCAGCCATCCTTTCTTTTCATGTAGCCATAGCCCTGGGGATGCCTAGAAGTTCATTTTTGTTCTTGCAGTCATTGTATATAAAATAATAACATTATTTATATTAAATATATGTAATTTTATATTAACTGTGAAGTGATAGCCAGTGATTACATCATCTTGTCAGAAACAAGAGTGTAGCCAGTTAAAACCCCTAAATGGACTATTTAGGGCACACAGATTGGTCTGTCATCTGAAGACATCCAAAAGCAGAGGCTGAGTGGGCTGTTTGAAATACAGCAAGTGACAATTCAGTGAGCATTTAATTAAGGTGGATTTTGTTCGTTTGTGGGTTGTTTTTTTTAAACTGTAATAGGTAGGTGGGTGAAACAGGCATGTTTAATGAAAGAGGAAATACAGGGGGTGCTGCAACTTTAAAAAAAAATTCAGATTTTGCTATTTCTTAAATGTTCCGTGTATAGAATAAAATGTATTTCATTTTACACTTTCCCTTTTCCCTTTAAGTAGTTGTAGTTCAGTGCTTACCTCATCCCTCACTTGAATTAACTTTAGATTTCTTGTTGCTTAGAGTTGGCTTAAAGGACTTTATAATGCTATGCAACATAATTATGTCTTAAATTGACATTAAAGAGTACTCTGGCACAACTAAATCCAAACGTCTGACAAAATAACCAAAGCAGTGGAAGAGGTCTCTTTTCCTCCCTGCAGACTGAAAATGTGATAGCACTGGATTATTTAGAGACAGAATCAAGTTTCAGTGGATTAGAATACTGAATGTATTACTCTTTACTCTCTTGTCAATATTTATCAATTCACAAATCTCAGCATTGCCAAGGTTTTAAGTGAGTTGTTAGAGTCAAATTCTGAAGGAGTAATCTGCCTTCAACGATGTTTGCAAATACTCTTGAGTGCCTTGATCACTGTTTCATTTTTCTGTGGGAGATGGGGGCAGTAGCCAGGGCTTACATTTTAGAAAGAAGAAATTCTGTGAGATAGAGCATGACAGGAAGAACAGAGAGGGGGATGTAAGCACACTTGTTCAGGTTTGCTGAGTGTGTCTGTGCCTAAGCAATGGCTCAGGCAGTTGTAAATCTGAGCTGTTTTGTAAGCAGACCGTGTACTGATTCCTGTAAGGATGTGTGCATCGGGGGAATTTTGCTTGGCTGGCAGACTACAGGGAAGCAAAATGCACATTGGTAACAATTGTTTACAATTCCTAGATTAATCAATCAGTCAGGAATGCAAATGAGTTTTTGAAAGAAGTTAGAGTAAATTATTTTATGTAAAATTTACTTCATTAGTATTTTAACCTGACAGAGGGAAGTGGACAGCCGCAGTTATATCACATCACTGCTAAATATTTTTCTCCCTGTCCATTTATTTATAAACTCTCAGATGAAATTGCTACAGATTTAATGGGGGGGAAAAATACACCTTTGTATGTTTCTCAGAATAACTTTCTCTGTATATTTATATGTATGTAGCTAATATTTAAAGTAAATATCTTTAAAAGTTTTTATAATCTGTGAAAACATTAAAACATTAATGGATGACATTTATAGATCACTTTGACTTCTCCATATGTGTATAAATCACATTAGATTGTGGCCTATTAGATAAGCCATAGTATTTTTAAACAGTATTCAAAAATATTTGTGCAAATTTACAGTTCAGTAGTGCCATGTGGAATAACTGCCTTTTTCTCAAAAGATGACTGGGAGGTTTAGCCAAGTTAGGTGTCTGTATTCTCAGAGATTTAACATTTATGTGATAGCCTGAAGGCAAATTCACTTTTTTGTACCAATTTCTAAAAACTATGTAATAAAGAGTCCTTTGAGCACAACTCTTGACTTTCTAGCAGAGTGGAAATTGCATATAAAACGCATGGCCTCTCAATTTTTTTTGTTTGTTAAACCTTCCCCTACGTAGAGTTGATTGCTAAAGGCGTCTCCGTGTCTCTCCCCGGACCCTGAGCTCAGTGAAGGCCGTTTTTCTCCCCGTTCTTTCATGCAGGTCAGCACCCAGAACATGAAGATGGGTGGGCTGCCTCGCACTACACCACCCACCCAGAAGCCACCAAGTCCACCGATGTCAGGAAAAGGAACTATTGGGTAAGTGCACTTACTGGGTGGGTGATCAGAAGGGAAAAGAGGGAAGATTGTTTCTTTTTCTGTAGCGGGAGAGATTTCATGGTTTTATTTAACCATTCACAAAGGTCAAGAGGTGTTATATCTGCATCCTCTTATACTGATCATGTCTTTGTATGTTAGTGTGCTGCTGCCAGAAGACAGTGGGCATCATCAGCCTTTCCCAACAGGAACTTTTTTATCAGTTCAGAACATTTCAAAATACATAATGTAGAGTAAAATGTCATTAGCTGTGGTTTTCACAGGTGGTGCTAAACAACTGAAAAATGAGTACATGGCACTGTTCGTTTTTTGTGTTGTGCTTGATGAAAGTAATTTCGTTTATGAACCTGATTTTTACCTTACGGAAATGCGTTATAAATGAGACAAATGCTATTTGCTGGTGTGTTTTAATGCATATACATACAGAACATGTTGCTTTATTTTAATGCAAGATAATGGCTTACCTTTAAAACAAGAATGGGATGTGAAACACAGAGTTTACTGATAGGAAGACTGAAGTACATGAAGAACATCCTTAATTCTTTTTCCCCCTCATCCTACAAAACAAGTACTGCAGAGTTATAGATAAAGCCCACTGTTGAAGCTCACATGGCTGATTAGTGCGTGGCTGTGTTTCGGAGAGTGAGAACCCGTGGTTCCGTGCGCGTTGCCCTGACTGGCTGGCGGTGTGCTTGTGCCGTGCAGGCGGCACTCCCCGTACCGCACGCTGGAGCCGGTGCGGCCCCCGGTGGTGCCCAACGATTACGTGCCGAGCCCGACGCGCACCATGGCCCCGGCGCAGCAGAGCCCCGTGAGAACGGCCTCGGTGAACCAGCGCAACCGCACCTACAGGTACCGCCCGCCTGGCCTCCCTCTGCCCGGAGCTCCCTCACTCACCCTCACTCACTGCAGTCTCACTGGCGTGAGGAGAATGAGCACTAATAAAAACAGAACAGGAAATCATGTTAAGATTGTTCACTTAATCCCCTGTTCACCTCAGTTTTAGTGATCTCACTTAGAGTCCTTAATGAATTACTAGGATTGTGAAGTCTTCCAAGGAGGTAGATCATGATGCTATTTTACTAAAGGATTACCAAACTGGGAGAAGACTTTGTACACAGCTTGCCTTGTACATGTTGAAGTGCTGCTTAGATGATTATACTTGAACAGTCTTTGATGTTATAGATTGAATAGGTGAAATTGTAGAGTAGTGTTTTGGGGATACTGATGACTTCAAACATGGAATAAAGCTAAACTGCATTACCAGGGGCTCTGCAGGAGACTGGTTTTGTTTTTTTTTTCTAGGATACTTAGTTTCATGATGTGATTAGATCTAAATACTTTCCTTGAAATCTTTACTTTTTAAACATAAGCACTTGAGGATGGCTAAACAAGTGGACTTAAAAAGATAAGAAAACTGAGTTTTAGTATCTTACAACTTTTAGGCTTTAGTAGTTTCATATGAAAGCATATGAATCACAGTCTAAACACTCCATAAGTTTTAAAATTCCAGGAAAAAAGGTCTGTATTTGCTCTGTAGGGGCTTAACAACCCTGGAATGACGTGCTTTGAGCAAGGTTCTGGAAGTGTTTCATTTTTGGCCAAGTTCACTGAGGCTAACTTACTGGAAAAAAAACTCTTGTGTTGTAGTCAAAATGGAGAGTTCAGGAAAGCTCAGCTTTGTACAGGTTTATATTATCCATCTTTCTTCTCTCTTGTTCCTTGTTACTTCTCTGATTTTGCAAGATCTCTGTGAAGGTCTGAGGGATCTTATGTTCCAGCATGAGCAGCATTATATTCATGCCCTGACACTTTGGATTCTTACAGCAGCAGTGGCAGTAGTGGAGGAAGCCACCCAAGTAGTCGAAGCAGCAGTCGAGAGAACAGTGGAAGTGGAAGTGTAGGTGTTCCCATTGCTGTTCCCACACCATCTCCTCCTAGTGTCTATCCAGGTAAATGGAAACTTCTTGTTCCTCTTTCTGCCTCGTTGTTAACCTTGAGCATTTGCAGTTTCCTAAACTCAGAGGGAAGCCCAGAGTTCATTGCTATTGATAATATGAGTTTGAATCAAGTCGTATCTTCTCTGAGAGTGTCTGATGTGCTGTAATGTTCCTTTTATGTATTAATTTGTTTATCAGAATTTTTTGCCTGGCTGCCTGCATGTGACAAGGTAGGACACAGCACCTTTTTTAGTGGGCTGGGGGACACTTCTCCCTTGTCCTTTTAAGCAAATAAGTGTTTTTTCATTGGCTGTTTATGCAGATACATAAAAGCATATTTTTAGAAAATTAGATTGAATGAGAGGCAGGCACAGAGTAAATCTTGAGTACATCAATGCAAGCTGAATTGTCACGACGAGATACTTGCTCAGTGTAATGGCCCCAGACTTTCCAGAAGTAGGAAGTATTATTAGTACTTCTTTTTCCTTTGCTCAGCCTTTTCAGTGAAGAAAAGCCTGTAGTTAGCTTGCAGCAAAGTACATGATGCTTCTGAAACAAAAGAGTTGGACATTTTTTTGGTTTTCTCTTTATATTTTTTCTAATTTATACAAAAGCTAAAGATGCTAGAGATTGGAGCATAAATAACAATGCAAAGACGATTTTCAAAAGTAATACTTTTCACTGAAAAGTTTTGGGTTGTGTTCCCTTCAGACCTGGAAAGAAGTGGATTTGCTTGACCCTCATTTACCATCTACACAGGAATGAGCCTTTCTTTTAACAGCTCCATTGTTTTCCCATCTCGTGCATTCTGAAGTACTGTGCAGCTAATAAATAGCTAACACTGAATAGTCAGAGGCTTTCTCTAATCCTTGCTAACATATCTCCTTATTAACTCCACCTCTTCCTCCTCTCTTCACTTAGCCCCTGCTGGCTCAGCTGGCACTTCTCCCCTTCCTGCTACCTCTGCTCCTGCCCCCACTCCTCCTGCTCCTCCTGCCCCTTCCTCCGCTGCCCCAGATGCTGCTGCTGCTGCTGCAGGAGCTCAGCCCCTTGCTGATGGCTTCACCTCTCCAACTCCCCCTGCTGTTTCTTCCACACCCTCTGCAGGTGAGTGTCTGCTCCAGCTGCTGGGCAGATGAACCCAGATGTGATCATGATCCAAAGCTTTGCAAAGTTAGTTCAGTGATTCATAATTTTAAAAAAAAAGTTTAATTATAAGTAGAAAACATCTGCTAATACCCAACTATAAGGTCATGGTTACAGTAGACAATTGAAGGTGTGCTGATTTTATTAACAGCAATAATTTTATAATTTTATTCTTTTTACATTTATTTAATTCACTAAATCGTAATTTTATTTCTGTTTGGATTCTGAGACCCTCATCATTATGTTTGGCAGGAACCAGCACTGATAGTTTTGGGTCTTATGATTCTCTTTCATAAATGCAATTAAAAAAATGTGCATCTAGCAAAGTATAATTTATGTAACTGGTTTCTTCAATGCTGTCAAATAATAAGTCTCCCTTTAATGAACTGATGAGAAGGGCAGGGTTTTTGTGTCCAGTATTAGGTAAAATACAAATTATCATGCAGACTACTATTAAAGCATTTTGTTTTCATATGTGGGACTTAGGGTGTATATTGCAACTTCCTTTTTTTAGTGCTACACTTTTCGTTTTCTCATGTGCTGAAGTTGCAGAGTGCAGTAGCAGTTACCAACCATAACTGTCCTGTATCACCTTTTGGTGAGGAGATTGCAAACAGCCAAATTCACATGTAGCTACCTGCTTGCTTTGCTGCTTTACATTATGGTGGAGGCTGCTTACAGGGGAGGGAGTTGGTTTGTATGTTTATTAGTGGTCATCTCTTAGTAAAAATTGCACCAGGTTCCAGAAACATTCTTGATATTGCATGCAGCTTAAAGGGCTGTGGCTCATATAAAATTAGAAGATATTTCCACTAGAATCCGTAACTGTGACCAGAAGTTTCTAAAGTGTGTTGAATTTTGATCTGAGATGATCCTGATGTCTAAACTACTTTTATGAAGATGAGCTGTAGCATATGGAGTCTCAATCAGTTTTCCATTTTTGATGCACTGTCAGTATCTCAGTTCTTAAGCCATGTTGTTTCTATATTTTAACAAGTCAAAATTAAGCAAAGATTAATATTTTAATGACTGTAAATTCACATTCACAATTTCTTAAGAGAAATTTCATGTTAGTTACTGTTTCTAAGATCTTTTGTTTCCCTGTTTTATTAGTGAGGTTGCTTATATGGTTTGTCTGAAATAAGGTATTTTAGGAGTGACAGGTCACCACTTATGAAGTCACAGCTTTTGGTCCTTAAAAACCTCTTGGCCCTCTCCCCTCCCATCTCTCCAATCACCACCAATTTCTGCAAGTGTATTAAGTAACAGAGAGAGAGACGCACACACATTGAAAAGAGACATCAGGAAAAATGGGAAAAAGCCTTTATAGAATGGGTTCTTTCTTAGCTATTTCTTATCTGTAAAAAGTGCATTTTTTTATATGGTGCACTACATTATTGGTACAAAGCAGAGGGAATGTGACACTGTAGTTCATGCATTTGCTCTTACAAGCAAGTAACAGAGCAAACAACTTGTATTTTTATTTACTGACCTAGCGAGAAGTTGTGCAAAGCAAGCAAAGCATAATGAAGAACAGTACGGGTTTTTTAAAATTTGTACATTGTTTTGTTCTGTTTCTTTGTTTACTTCTTTCTTCAACCACAGTGACCATCCCTTCTTCCCTTGTTTTCTTGCAAACTCTCAAATTTGCTTCTAGGAGAAATGGTGGAGGCAGAATAGTTTGTGGCATGTAATAATGCGTATGGGAATAACAAATTCATTTTACTGTTGTTTGTAGTATAAAATCCAGATAATTTTATGTGAGCACAGAAGATATCTTGCTTCATTTATTTCTTGCTGGGATGCACAATCAATGTCTTGAATACAGAAAATAATGAAAACGCAGAACAAGTTTTTGAGGAGTTGTTTTAACTGACAGCTCCCTTGAAGAGTGTCTTCCAGTTTGACTTCATTTATTCCAACCTTCAAGCAGTTTCAAATATTCATTTCTCCCCAGATGATTCTCTGAATATCTTCTAAGTGGCACTAAGATAGGTAGTACTGTGTTTTTCAGTTACAGAGGGTTAACAGCTTTGAATCCTGGAAATGGCCTGCAGTTATTTTTCACATGTATGTTCCTTAACTGCAGAACTGTAACGTTTTGGAGAGTTTTTTCCAGCTTCAGAAATAACTAAATTCACAAGAAGTTATTGTAATACATTATTTAACATAGATAACCAGAGATTATTTTCTTTCATTTTGAGGATTTATAGCTTAAACACCTTTGTATTTTCCCACTGGCTTTTGTAGGCAGTGCTGAGTGCAGGCAGTTGGGAGATTTAAGTTTTGCATTGCTCTTGAGACATTCGATGTCCTGCCAGTCTGGCAGCTGAAGTGGTTGACTCCTAGGATGCAGACGATCTTAAAATAAAGCACCAGAAACCTTTCCAAGCCTTTGAAATTGAATGCAGGTAGAGAGAAGGCAGGCATCCTTCCTCTCTTTGCTGATGCATTTCTCTGTCTGCCCAGGTCACCCGGTTCAGTTCTACAGCATGAACAGGCCTGCGGCTCGGCACACGCCGCCGACCATCGGGGGCTCTCTGCCGTACCGGCGGCCGCCTTCCATCACATCGCAGACGAGCCTGCAGAACCAGATGAACGGGGGCCCCTTCTACAACCAGAACCCAGGTGAGAAAGTTTGGCTGCTCCACTGAACTCCGTGGTGGTGGGTGAGCACAGTGACCTTCAGCTCTCTGAAATTTTATGTTCTGTCTCCGTTGCAGATCTTGCACTTTCAGTATGTTGCTGGTAGCTGTGCCAAAGCTGCAGTGCAAGTGCACAGTGTTCAGCTTTTATTATGGCAAGCATCTTAAAAAATGCTGGCTTTGTTGCCAAATAATTTACGTTTGATGTCACAGTCCCTATCAGACAAGCTTTAGTCCTTGACTACACCATGTGCCATGGACCTGCTTTGGTGTGGGATGGGTATTTTGCACCAGAATGCTGATTCTTCATTAATCAGTCTTTATCTTTTGTGCTTTTTCCTTCTGGGTAATGTACAGTTCTAGCAGTTGTAGTTGTGCATTAGACACCTTGGAGACATCAGCGGTGTCTGGGTGCTGTGTCATCTGCTAAGCCCAAGGTGATGTTATTTTATGGGTGATCTGCCTTACAAAGCAAGAGGAGATCTTACCAGGGAGTGAGCATCCTGTGTGTCAGCATAACACCGTAGCCTTTTACCTAAGGAGTCCTGCTTCCTGTGCTTCTGATGGGACCAGGAGGGTTTTATACCAGACTAGGGGAGATTTCTCTTTTGACAAAGCTACAGAACGATGCAGGAGACACACTGAAGGTTTCTTGTCAGTAAATGTCCTATTACCAGCAAAATTGAATGTTGACGTGCAAGTACTACAGTATGTTGGTGTTTTGTGGTGGTAGAATTTGAAGGGGATGTCTGTGTTGCTTGGTTGCTTTTGGTTTTCTTTTGTTGTTTTTCTGTTTGGTTGGTTGGTTTTTGGTTGGTTTGTTTGTTGTTTTTTTAAATTGAGCACTGAACTTGGAATTAGGTCAAATGCTGCAGTCTGCATTTAAAGGGTTTGATCAGGTTTGGCTGTTACTGTTTGTGAGCTACCCTGCAGGGTGAGCTGAGCTTGAGATGGAAATGAAAGGTCCTGCTGGGCACAGGGAAGTGGAGGAAGTTGTAAGGCTGAATTGTAGCCCAGTTGCCTGAAACAGGTCATATTTTCTAAGCACAATATGTGCATATTGAAGGCTGAAGGGGGGAATAGGCAAGAAAGAAAGAAAGGGTAATAGCAACAAAAGAAACCTTTCAGGATTACAATAAAGCAATTTTTGCAATAAAGACAATTTTCAGTATATCCAGAGAGATTTTGATGACTGCTGTGTGTTTTTTGCTTTAGCAAAGGGATAATTCTCTGCAAGTTGCCATTGCATTGTTAATAGGTAATCATAGAAGATGCCAAATAGACTTAAAATAAATTGTATAACCACAGTTGTCTGTGTATCCAGAAAGAAGGTAATGATTATGGTGATTAGTCATTTGAACTGTAAATCACAAACAAAATACTTCAGTTGTACTGGCATATCTGAGACAATACAAATAAGCAAGCTGTAGTAGGAGGCTTTTTTTTTTGTATATACCAGCAGAATACAGAATTTATTAGCTTTGCAGTTACACTAAACCAAGGTTTTTTTGGAGTTCACCTTGAAAGGAGAGGATGTTCAAGCGTGCATAATTGATGAAAGCCCTAAGAACAGAGGCACTGATGTGTCTGGAAGGAGCAGGTTCAGTAGTGGCAGGACAAAGGCCACAATTTTTTCTCAGCATTCCTGAAGAGAGGTAGAAAACAAAAAGGGAAAGAGAGACCTTACAAGAGGCAGAAGAGGGGGCCAGCTATGGCTTTTTTGTTATTTGTAGGCTGTTTGGCAATAAGCCAGTACTGTTGATTTTTAAAAGGTGGCCTAGTCATTTTGTTTATTCATTTGACAGGAGGATGAAAGGTACTTGCATTGCCCTGTTCTGTTAAAAGGTATTTCAAGATAATACAATTCTTCTGCTTTGTGATGAGACCTTTTTAACAACTGAAAAGAAAATATTAATAAATGCAGACTTTGAATGATCTCAGCATATGTCTGTCCCAAAGCCACTCTTGCCAGCCAAGCCACCAAGTGCTTGGCTTTTTTATATTAATATTAATATAAATATTAATTTATTGCAATAATTAATTGCAATATTAACAAGTGCTTTAATATTGCAATTTTGGATATGATTATCTAAGCAATATAGAGCTCAGCACAGGCTAAAAACCATGTGGGAGAATCTGGACAAGTATTGAGATGGTGGTTGCACCCTGCCCCATCTGTACAGCTGAATTCTTACCAGTCTGAAGCAGCCTAGTGGAAGGTGCTCTTGAGCATTTCTGAATTAATTTACAGCATCTGTGTATTAAATCTGTCAGTGGTCAGTATGGAAGGAAGATGGGAGAGAACATTGAGGATGATGTTTATACAGCAGAGGTAAAGTTCCTCTGATGCATTTAAAAAATAGTAACAAAATATTTATTTTTATTGCCTCTTAGAGGTCAAACCTGGAGTCATTATATAGCACATAGAGACAATATTATGGTAGTCCCTGCCCAGTGCGAAGACTGAAGCACAAACTGAGGGGTTAAGATACTCAAGGAATGATGTCAGCTAGTGTTAGCATCACCATTGTGATTAAACCACTCAACCCAAACTGAACCTGGGAATTTTTCTGTATTTGCTTGGCATGCTTGTCTAGAGTGATTTCTTTTTATCCATGGAAAGCCTTCTTATTTCTTTCAAAGAAATATATATAACTCATGAACAAAGTACACTGAAGAGACCAAGGAAACTGGAGCTAGTCTCCTGTGATAGGTATGGATTGTATGAATCCATATGATGTTGAATAGATGAATCATTTTGAAATTAAACACTTTTCTAGTGTATATAATTGAAAAAGCAGGGACAAGGATGCTGAATTGGTGACTATTACTGCTTCTCAGTAGGACTTTAAATTTGAGTTCCCTTTTTCTGCTTTGAAAAAGTGCAAGACCAAATCTTTTCACAGCAATCATGGTTACACTTGAAGGAATAAATACTCTGAGGTCATGTCATTTGAGTCAAATGTCAAATTTCTGTAATCAGAAATATATTTCCATTTTTTCTCAAGAGAAATCAATTAAATGGTGAGATAATGGAACTTACTTTATATGGAGGTACTTTTGCAACAAAAAGGATGGTTGCTGTTAGTCTTTTAATTCATGGTGTGTGGTTCTGAAAGAAATGTGAATGTGAGTGACAGAAGAAATTCAAAGCACTTAAGATGTTACTGGAATGAGCAAACAGAATAAATTTTGAGACACAAGTTGTAAATGCTGTAGAACTCTTTTCTCTTGCTATGATAATGTGAATTAATTCTGAAAAATGCTACATCATACCTGTCAGTTTTCTTACTACCTCTGGAATTAGCCTGAAATTTATTTTGTTCTGTCTGGTAGCTAAATAAATGTACTGGTACATGAAGTATAGACTTTTTTCTCCTTAATCCCTTTGGACATGATTAAATGTTTTTTGTATGGCACATACTAACAAGAAATTTATTATTTGTGCTTCTCCTGAGGTGTGCTTTCTGAAAAATCATCTTGCAACTTGCCTAAAGAATTTTGCTGCATTATTCAAAGTGATACTAAACTCTCATAAAACAAGTTAGCTGACGTTTTAACTAGATAACTGAAACTCACATTCCAGGCTTAAACCACAGTTCAGTGTTACAGCATTTGCAATTGGCTGAAAGCATCTCCTTTAACTGGGAACTCACATACATTGTACAAAGGCAGCTCATTGTACAAAGAGAGCTCTTCTGGTACCAGTGAAAGGCTGTTCAGAGTTCAGTGCAGAGACGTCAGGTGGGGAGGAAACCAGGCAGCACATCTGGAATAGGCTCTGTGGTTTGGCAGCAGCACAGTGTGCTCTGTTCTGTCAATAAGATCAGAAGTGTTGCATCTTTCAGATCTGCACAGTTCTCAAAAGGCATCTTTTTCTGTTTTGTCTGAAATAGCTGCCTCATTCAATGGGGGTTTTGGCCTACATCTTGGAAAAAAAGAGGTATATCCATTTTCATTACTAGGGATTCATGGATGCTGTTAGTCATCTCTATAAATATCAGATTTGAAAGGGGGAGGATTATAGGCAGAGAGTCTTCTTGATATATTTGTTAGTTAGGTCTGTCCATAAAGTGCTATATTCTGTAGTAAGAAACTTAATCTTAAGGGAATCTCATAGTCAAATCAGAAGAATGCTTCAGCATGGATGCTTAATGTTATGAAAAAGAGCTGGGTTGGAAATTTTAAAAATAGATAAATATCTTTGAAGAGAGGATTAGGAATATGCTTAAACCACCTGAGCCATTTTTCCTTAAATGTCAGTCTTTTTATCTCAGCTTCTTGGCAGCCTGCTGCACTGTCTGAGTGGTGATGATGTCTACTTTCCTGTTTGCTGCTTTGTTGTGTTTCTAACTGGATGCCTCTCTCTTTTTAATTTCTGTGGCAGCATCCCTTGCTCCTCCTCCCCCCTCCATCCTACAGGTAACTCCACAGTTACCACTAATGGGATTTGTGGCCAGAGTTCAAGAAAACAGTAAGTTTGCTGCTTCCTTGTGCAATGTTTTATTATTGGATGTGGCTTTTGGATTGAGTTGATGAAAGATTTGTCTGTGTATAGCCAGAATTCTGCATTCTCTACTGCCTCTGCAAGTTTGTCTGAAATTGTGAAGGGTGGGAAAAAGAAATAATCTTATTGGAGGTACCTGGTCATTCCTTCTCTGAATTTTCCTGTCTCTAGTGTATTTTCACAAGTTATAACTGTTGGCCCCCCTTCCATTAATTGGGATAGAGAGTATTACTTGAAGCAGCTGCCATGGCTGCAGAGACATCTTCATGGCTGTACTGTTACTTATGCTCAGTTTCAGATACTCCTCCCCCGCCACCGCCTGTGGACGAGCCGGTGTTTGATGAGTCTCCACCTCCACCCCCACCTCCAGAGGATTATGAGGAGGAGGAAGCAGCAGTGGTGGAGTACAGCGATCCCTATGCTGAGGAGGACCCTCCTTGGGCACCGAGGACATACCTAGAAAAGGGTAGGTTTGGAGCCAGAAGAGGCAGTAGGCTTGTATTTGTAACAACTTTTCGTATGTGTTGCTGCCATCCTGCTTTTGCACGTGGAGTCTGCCCAGACTCCTTCATACCAGTCTTTGATATTACAGCATTTCAGTCAGTAGCAGAAGAGAAAGAGGCCCTGCTGTGTGTTTATAGTGTCCCCATACTAATGCAAGGGGAGGGGAGGGGTGTGTGACGTGCCTTGAGAAACAACTTTCTGTTTGAGGAAATAATAATGCTTGAATGATAGTTCTGTTCTGCTTTCCTGTGGGAATTCGTGAGCTTGGGAACTAAAATAGTTCATGTAGGTGCATATACACACAGATCTGGTCCATCTCCCATGGGATAGCAAAACTGTAAGGGAGAGTCTTTAAAGATAAGCTGGAGAAAGTCAGGCTTTTAGTCAGAAAATGTTTCCTGTGGAGAACAAAAGTATAAGAAGCCAAACATTGTCTCTATTGATGTAGAGACACATGCAAAAACATAATTTTGATCTGTATTTTTAAAACTGGATGACCAAAACATCGAAAAGGTTGGTGTGTTTTTAGAAACACTTTTAAAAGTAGTAGAAAATACAATTGCTTTCATCATATGAAGAACTATTAAATAGTAGTTTTAGGATACCAGAAAAAAGGAGCTATTGCCATAGATATGGATTCTGTTGTAGTTACATGAAGGTCTCTACTTAGGCCATGTCTTGAGATTTGACTGCTTTGCTGGAATTGGGAGAGAAGTGCTTGGCTGTGAGTTTTTTGTAACAAGCTTTGAAGCTTTAAATTAATGGAAAACCTTATACTAAAAGGAGACTTTAATACTCAAATAATTTGTATACTTACACTGTTGGGAATTAAAATGCTTTATTCAGCAAAATAATTTATCCTTAATTAAAGGCAACTCCTTAAGTTCCTATAAATAGTGTTCTGCTCCACATGATTCAAAGTGGACAAAATAGATGAAAGTAAGTAGCTCTTCCAACACATTTACCCCCAGTTCTTAGGATTTAGAATTCCCAATTCTTATTCTTAGAATTCCCAATTCTTAGGATTTGTACTTGTACTTTTGATATGACCATTTAAGTTCATATGAGAGCACTTTTATAGGGTTAGGGTAGATGACCTTTGCAACAGAAGCTGGGACACCAAAGAGGTGTCAAATAGAAGAGAGTTGCTGTATATTGCAATGGGATTCAATATGACCCTGTTCTGTAGAGGGTCAAGCAGTGTGGGAGGTTTATCATTTAACCTTTAACATTAAGAGCTGAGGATGGAAGTGAATAGCAGATCCATTTGGAACAGATGGAGAAATTGTTAAGTAGGATATAGTTACTGGGGATGCTGAACTTGAGGACACTGCCATGTGACTGTAAGAGGAACAGCCAGCCTGCAGTGTCCAGGGATGTGCACTGCAATTTTCCATTGAGCTCAGTGTCTGGACGTGTGGCAGGAAAAGATAAGAAAATGACCTGGCTCTGCAAGTCAGATGAATTGAAATGGGTATCCAGAAGGAAAAATTGCACTTTCACCACTTAGAGAAAGTGTGTGTTCACAGATTCCAGCTGGATAATCAGCCTAGCCTACATTTGTGGTCAGTTGGATATAACAGAGTTCAGCCAAACTCTGTAATTGTTGAAGAACCAAAGGTCACTGATTGGAAGAATATCAACCTAAATGAGTAATTCTGTTTTTTATAACTGCATTGAAACACATTCAGACAGAAACTAAAAGAAGCCCTGGCTTAGGCTGACAGGGCAGGATGCCACCTCCTGAGTCAGTATTGCTGTTTCCTGTCTCCTCTGGAGCCTTTCTTGCACTGCTGGCCTGGACTCCTCACAACTCGGGGCATGTGACAAGCTCACAGCTTGAACTGGTGGGACTGCAGACTGAAGGATTGAACGGCCTTTTAGAGAGGGAACTGCTGCCAGTACACAAATAACATGCTGGAGGAAGCACTGGTGATGGAAAAACAAAAACAGGCTTCAGGTAAATTTTATGAGGCTTAACAAGAAGCAAATTTTCTTCACAAATTTAGGGAAGAGTTTCCTTCTTGTGATCATGAAATAGTGAATCCATTCAGTATCCAAAGGGACTAGAGTACACTCAAAAGTTAGAAAGAAAGGAATTGGAAGTTACCATGGTCCTTGGATGATGATGACGATTATTATTGTCATCAAGAGAATGAAGAAAAATAGCACAGTGACTCTAGGAAGACATTTCATAAACCCTTAGAAATGAATTTTGAAGGAATTAAATTGAATGCATCACATGTTCATACACTTGTTTTTCAAGCTAAAATCGTACTTGTTTCTCCATAGGTGTTTTGTTTCCGTAGAATTATATGTCTAAAACTGTACAGAATAAGTTACTTAACAACTGTTGGCACAATTGTAGAACTAACAATATGTGTTTTCCAAGTATGCTCTAGTCACATGATAAAAAAAAATTCTTTGCATACTCTGATTTTCCACTGGGATTGATCTGTATATTTTATAATCTCTTCTGGATCCAGGTTTCCCTAGTGTTGGTTTGTGTTGATTCCTTTGCTCTCTCAAAAGGAAAATGACCTCTTTTCTTTTGAAAAGAATGATGAGTTTAGTGGGACTCTTGGACAGTGGTTTTATGAACACATGCTGTTAATTTTTAATCCTTGCCTTAGTTTAGAGTATCTTTCCATCTATCCTCAGCACAAGATTTTAGGATCCCTATCCAACATACTTTTTTTTTTTCCTTAGTGGCAGCACTACATGTTTCATTGCCAAGTTCTCAAAGCTGTGATTGATGCTATTTGGTAAAGTACTCAGAGTCTGGCATAGCTAACTTTCTCTATGAAACACATAATGATAGCACCGAGATTGGAAAAATGTATCAATTTTATATCTATTTTATGGCATTTCAGGACTGTTCTATTTAATATTTCCAAGTGCTTTGTCCAATTTCTTTGCCTTTCCTAACAACTTTTGTGCCATCACTAAAATATCCTGCAGCTGTAAGAAAAATGTCCTGATACAGTATGTGTACATTTCCACCTTCCTTCTTCATGGCTTCTAGCAGGGATTTGCCCACCTTGGTGCTGTGTGCCCTGGGAGTAGATATTGAGATGCACGTGACCTTTAGAGATTTAAATGTGGGAGTAGCTAAGGTAGATGGAAGTCTGGGATATCAGCCTTGGCTCACTTGTACTGTGGCCTGAAGAGAACTCTTGCTACACTCCCTCTTCCATGTTTTCCTGCTCTTTCCTGTGCCGAGATCTGGCTTAGCACATGTAGGAATAGTTCTGAGTGGTCATAGCCATGGGGATTCACAACCACCTCATTGTATCATTCCACACCAAAAGTTTTTCATACACTTGGACACTTCCTCTGGTGGGTCTGGAAATAGTAAGAATAGAAGAGTTAAAGGACTCCTGGCTCATGTGCTTCAAAGTGTGAGCTTGAACAAAAGGGGGTGGAAGAAACTGTTTCTCTCAGCAGGTCATTCAGTGCACACCTGGTGCACACAGGTGAGGCAGTGCCTGCGTGAGGGAGGATGATTGGATTTTCCTCCTTCTCCTCTACCTCTCCTAACACTCATATTCTGTTCTTTCCTAGTGGTGGCAATCTATGACTACACCAAGGACAAGGAGGATGAGCTCTCATTTCAGGAAGGTGCCATCATTTACGTCATCAAGAAAAATGATGATGGCTGGTATGAGGGGGTCATGAATGGCGTGACGGGGCTGTTCCCGGGGAACTATGTGGAGTCGATCATGCATTACTCAGAGTGACGACCCGAGGACAGAACACTGCATCTCCTGCTGCAGGAGCTGTCAGGGCTTCCCAGATCTCCACCAGCCTCTGGGGCCCCATCCAGTATAACTGAATGAAGGATAATTGTAACAACCACTCTTTTGGGTTTGGTTTGGTTTTTTTTTTCTTTTCCCCCCTCATGATAAGACAATAGTGATTTGAGTTGTTTGAACAAATGGCTCTTCAGCTGCCAGCAGAGCTATCCTGAGCTATCTGACTTTGAATTAAGCTGACCCATTCAGATGTAACAAACTTGTTGATTAGCTCATACTTCACTCGAATTCCGACTTCTGACAGGCCTTGGGATCTGTCTTGGGAGTCCTGTGTGCCCTCATGGTACTACCATTGGAAGCAGTGCCTGGCACTGAGGATGTCCTGGATGCTTGTGGTGAAGGTTACTGGCCAGTGGACATCCCTCCTGTTTCTACACTACACGCCTGTGCAGCTGGAAGAACAGTCACGTGCTAGCAAACACTGGGATTTCTACACAGAGACGTTCCTGTAACTGACTTCCAGATAGCTGGATGCTTCTTTAGCATAAACACTTCTGCAGCTGCTCTGCACACGTAGGCTGACACAGGGCACACAGAGCCGGCTTTCATTCACTCACCTTTCAGTTTAGACAATTCAGATGGCTGCAGCCCAGAGGATCCCCACCCCCATTTCTCATCTTCTGAATGCCACATGTTTGTTTTGTGTTCTGCACTGATGTAACTGTGCTCCTCTCCACAGCGAGCTCCTTGCCACGGTTGCTGCCGGTTCAAACAGAACTCACAGATGCCGTTGATGGTGAAGGCGAAACAAAGTTTACAGGTCCTCCTGGGGTCTGAGGATTAACTCTAGGGGGTGTGATCTAAGGTTCAAATCTATTCATGCCTGCTTGCACTAGAGAAACTTGCCCCCAACTTTAGTTTTATGCACAATATAATCTTAAAAATCCAATCAGGTATTGTAAATTGGCTATTTTGTACTTGACGACTAGATTTGCATAAGTACTGTGAGAGCCCTGTGCAGAGGCAGGACAAACGGCAATTGTCGTCTTCATGTCTGTTGCCAAAATCTCTTCAGTGGAAGCAAAAAGGGCTGTTGTGTGTACTGGTTTCCCATGGAAATCCAAGCAGTAACTAGTAGTAGTCCTAGCTCTTCCCCTAGCCCTCTCCATTGTTTATTATAATAGGTATTTTGAGCTGTACTGGTGGCTTGGGGTGGAGTAATACCAAGTGAAGGCTCTGTAGCCCCTTGTGATGATACTTTGCTTTCTAATCTAGTCTCAGTTAACAGTTCTGCTCAGTGATTGTGCACAGCAGATTACTGTAAGTGATGGTTATACTCATCTGCCCATAGGAACATCTAAATGTTACCTGTGGGTAAATATCATACATTAACTAATTAAATTTCCTGTTAAGTCTTGTTAGCCTGCAAACTGAGAGCCTCCTGGGCAAGGGCATCTTTTAGACTGTCACCTGGCCAAGTTTTAGCTGGTACCAAGAGTAGCGTGTCCAAGGTGAGACAGTGCTGCAACTGGAGGAGCCAGTGTTAAAACAGAGCAGCACACAGGAGAGGGGCTGGATGTGTGGTGGCATTGGAACCAGTACTGGAACCAGTACAGGTGACTGACCCAGCCCCTTGCTTGGTAGTTAGTGCAGTATCAGCATGGAGGTGCAGACTTGGTGCCAGCCTGGGCAGGGAGGTGCCATAGCTGTCAGAGGGCAAGAGGAACAAACAAATAGGTGTTTGTAGGCCATGGAGGAATGTGATCACCTGCTGTGAGCTTGTGGAACTCCTGTGACAGCACACAAGAAACTGGCTTGGTTAAAGTCTGAAGGAAGGACAACTTTGAAGAAACTCATGTGCAGATAGAAGTCACTTCCTCCCTTGTTAATCCACATTGTTTTCTTTCTAGAAGCTGACAGCATTGTTTGGGATGAGTGCCAGAACAGATACCCTTTAAGCCTTTTACTCTCTGAGAAGTTTTCTTGCAGCAAGACTTTTAGACTTTTAGAGAAGCTGCCGTGTTCAGTTCCCTCAGCCCATCATTTCTGTGGAAGCAAGTCCAGAACCACTGGTTCTGGTGACTGCACTGGTTGTGCAGTCACTGGAGTAACTGTTTCTAGTGTCATTGAGAAGGTCTAAGCTTTTGGCACAGGGAGGTGGTGCTTCTAGCAAAGGTGATTGAACAGCAACATTCACAAGCCTTTGGTGCTTACAGGGCGGCTGTGTTTTTCAGGATATCAGAGCTTTCCTGGCTTCTCTCACTTTGGATATGTTTGTGGCAAAAACTGAGCCCACAGTGCTCAAATGCATTGTTAGGGCAGCTGAATGATTTCTTAAGTGAGAGCTGAACCTCTGCCTGTGCACCCAAGCTGCAGCTGGCAGGTCACACATTAGTGAAACATGTCTTAACCCAGTGTGAGCAAGAGCTTGTGCTGGAACACTTCTGGCAGGTGGGTGGCGTAGTGTGTGCTCCCACTGTGTGTGATACTTCATCTTCAGTCAGCTGGTTTTTAGTCTTGCAAGCTTTCTGTGTTGTGAGAGCGGAACAGTGTGAGATGAATGCTTGCAGAGCAAGCACAGAAGATGAGGCTACAAAACCCTTAGTGATTCCACTGTCAGGACAGCTGTGTAACAGCTCCTGAAGCACTGGCTTTGGTCTGATGGGCTAGGGGTTAGTTTGGTCCCTGCTGATAGAACATGGAATTGTTTATCCTGGAAGAACTGCTGTGGATGGAATTTCTGGGTCACCTCCTGCTGGTTTTATGCTTTATTATGCAGTACTAATGTAAAGAAATTTGTTGAGTTTTATGCATATTTTTATTTTGTACAGATTTTAATTCTGTTGCTTGTTTGGGGATGATGTGATGTAATGGTCATAGACCAGGCCAAGGTAAACAGGCTTTGTATATTAATGTTACATAGATTGCATGCTAGTAAAGTCAGTGAGGGCTGTTTCCAGTTTTGTCCCTTGTACTTCTCCTTGTCCAAAACCTTCTCTTCCCCACCCCTTTTTAATTTACAGGTTTACTTTAAAAGGGGGTGGCAAATAGGGGGGTGGGGGAGAAACACCTCAATATTTTAAATAAGATGCACAACAATCTCTTCACTGCTGAGTTTTGCTGCTACAGCTCATGGTGTCCTGCATCACAGGCTGTTGAAGCGGGAGTGTGTACACGTGAGAGGTGGGGAAAGGAGACACTCCATCATAGCCCAAAGAGTGCTGAATGGCCAAAATGTATATGTTTCTCCCTTTGTGAGAACTGCCTTAGCCCAGCCAGCTGTTTTCATTGTGCACAGAAATTGTTCAGCATCCTCTAGCGGTGTATTTTGCCTTGGTTTGCTGTGTATCACAGGTTTCTTCCTTCCTCTTGGCGCCAGGGACAAAGCTGTTAACTACAGCTGCCTCTCCAGCATGTGCCTGCATGAGAGGAGGTGTGACTGAGTCCACATCTAGTGCTGAAGCAGGTTCATTTTGGTGCCTTCATTCCAGCTGAAGGGAGATAGCTGAGGTTGCATGTGTCTGAGCCATTCTTTCCCCTCCTTTTCCCCTTCCCTTCAGCTGTTGCAGCAGAGGGCTGAGAGGGGCAGGAGAGGTGACCAGCAAATTCTACACCTGTGTGTCCTGAGGGCATGCCGATGTGCAGTGGCTGAAGCAATGCTGGATCACTTGATGGTCTGACTGGTTAGACGCAGACACACGCTGAGGCACCGGAGAGCCATGGAGGACAAGAGGCGTGGCTTGGCCCTGAGGTAGATGACAGCTTGGTGTGTGTTACCAGGAGGCTGACCATGTGCCTGGAATTCAGCTTATCCTTGCAGATAGTTGAGTTGGATGTCATGTGTGTGTCGGAGGTGTCTGCTGGTGTGAACCACAGGTCCCACAGGTCCTGTGGTGTGTGGCTGGGTGGCTTACCCGTGGGCACCAGAAAGGCTTAAACCCAGCTAGTTCTTGCTAGAGCAGTTTGTTCTCCTTTCGCAGCTGCTGGGCATTTTCTTTTCTTGCTGCTGAGGATTCTTGGTGACAGCCAAAGTTGACAGTGGCAGGTAATGCAACTTCTGAAAAGTGCCACTTTTACCTGGGGTGTTTCAGTTGATCATGAAAAGAAAGCGAGGAAGCAGCAGGACTGAGGAGCCTTTTCCAGCAGAGGGTATGTGGGCTGCCTGCCTGCTGCGGGTGTGCATGTGTTGACTAGAGGTGGAAGAGGGTTCTGCACTGGTACTGTTGCACTTCTCTGGTGTCTCCCATCTGTGCCTGATGGTGACTTAATAGTGTCCTCTTCCCAGCAACTTCCACCACTTCCTAGCAGATGCTGTGGATGCACCTCTCTGCTGGAAACGAGCCTGCTTTTTTATTAGTTATGTCTGTGGGCTCCAGGCATAGAGCAAAATTTCCACATTTTCTTTTCTGGAAAGGATGGAACTTTGTGGTTTAGTAAACTGGGAGCATTTACAGAGCTTCTCCTCCCAGAGGTGCAGTAGGACATTTTGTAAAACAGGTAACATCTGTATTCTCTGCAGGTCCCTTTCGGAAGCTGCTTAGAGGATGCTGTTGGACACTGTGGTGCTGTGGCTTTACTAGGAGCAGTAGTTGCATTCAGATAATTGAGAGTCACTGGTGAAGGCACTGCAGCATTTCAGGCAGTATTACAAACCCCCTGCAGAGACTTCAGTATGTATGTTGGCAACCATGACAGTAGAAAAGGTACAACACTGTTGCATTCACTAAGGCAAGTATTTACAACACTAACCTCTAGGGAAGGCGGTGGTGGAAACTGAGTACCAGCAGGATCCTGGGCTACAGCTCCTGGGGTGCCAGTTAGAAGAATTTGCTGTGCTTACAGGTGTGTTCACCTTCCCCAGCTTCTGGCATCTCCCTGTATTTGGCATGGCTGCATTTTGTGGATAAAATGGTTATTACACAGAAGTCAGAACAGTACAAGAAGGGAACCAGAAGGAAAGGTGTGGTTTGTTTTGGGGATTTTTCCCCACAGTAGCTGAAGTCAATGTGTAGTAACAGCCCAATTTACCTACTTCTGATGGGACCCCCACCTCACATCCACAGAGACATTCTGAAAGCTTGATGCAGCCACGGTTTGACAACTGTTGTTAAAAAGAATAATTCACAGATCATGGAGTTCTGCTGCTTTCATTTGAAAAAAACCCCACCCATGTGTTTTGTGTAATCTCCAGCCAATGGAGGAAGAGGTTTGGGGGTTTTTTTGGTACTCCAAATGTACTAACTTTATTAGCAAGACATATTACAAGACAGTGATGGCAGCAGGGGCCTGCTGTCCAGAGGTAAGCCTACACCCAGGACCCTGCTGAACACTGACATGGGGACCCTACTGAAATGGGTGCAGTACATTTATTCCAGTTTCTCTTTACACCTCTGAAGAATTCTACCACTACTGACTAATAGGAAGAGCTATGTACAAATTTATTTCCATTACAGCGCCTCGGTAAGTGCTGACATGTCCAAGATTTTTTTGTAAAGAACAAGTGCTTCTTTTCACATTTGAAAAAGTGTCTTTTGCAACTTGCATGGACAAGTAGTTTCTATGAATTCTCTGGAGATGTCAGTATCTAACATGGATTTTGTCCATGCACTTTTTTCTGAAAGCAGATACCCCCCCTTTGGTTTGCAGTAGGAGTAGCACGCTCTGCTTTTGCTTTTGGCACTGCTAATGCAGTGGATGGATGCAGAGCCCACTGTAAATGACCAAGCCCACAGGACTCTGGGGAGCTGTATGCCGCCAGTAACGTTTTAGTGTGTGTGCCATTTGAACCACCTTCCAGTGAGTGCAAAACCCAATTTTTAAATTTTTTTAATTGTACTTGGAATTAATTGTTGCTGTGTACTAAACCCTCTTGTTATGAGCCCTGAATAAAAAGAACAAAGCACACATCATGTGTTCTGTGAGCGTGCCACAGCCGTGTCCCATTTCTTGTCTTTGGCTACAGTCTTCATGCACTAGGCCCTGAGGCTCTCTGAGCACAGCACTTACCACAGCAAAGGTACAAACCTTGGCATCTGGCCTGCTGCTGCCAGCAGCTCCTTGCCCTCTGTGCGACTCCCCCTTGCCTGCGCTCACTTAGGTCATTCTCCACTCTCTGCTGCTGAGGGCTGCAGGGTGAGGCTGAGAGCATTTCCCAGCCAGGCTCCCTCCAGCCCCCAGAGGGGCCCACAGCAGCACTTACCAGCCTGCAGCAGCTCTGTGTGAGCAGAGCTGGCCAGGACTCTGCAAGCCCGAGCAAGGAGCAGATGGGAAAGGTGAGCCTTCAGACGGGGTCCTCTTTAGAGCTGTAACTGGTGTGCAGCAGCTGGCCGCTACAGCCAGCTCTGACCCAGCAGAACAAACTGTGCAAAGGAATAGCAGCAGTTTCCTTGGGAGTGAGCACAGGAACAGCATATGGCTGTAGGCCATCAGCTACCTGAGCCCTACTGAGAGGAACCACTGATCTCTGGAAAACACAGTGTGGGTCTGAGCTCATGAAAAAGGAAAATTGCAAGACAGGATTAAAACAGAGTATTAAATTTAACTACATCTTTATTGAATTGTGCATATTCCATTGTATAATGAGCTATATTGGGTACTCTATAACGTAGTATTTCTTTTGTCCTCTGTCATGCTTAAAAAAGTATATTTATACATATATTTATATATATTTATAATATGGCAAAGCTCCCCCCAACCTGATGCTATCAGTCTAAAAGAGCTTTGATTATTTTTTTTTTCTGTTTGGAAAGGGAAGAAGAGGGGAGGCAATTCCATTGAAAGATAAAATGTGCAATTTTCTTTTTAAAGCAGTAAACATGAATGTATTTACAGCACTCAGCACAAGTTTGCCGCACAGACAAATCATCATTGCAATGACACTTCTTACACTTGCATCTCCAGTATTATACAGAATATTCCCAGTGACTGGTAACAATTAGTGTAAGCCATAAACCAAACTGCTGCTCTGGTTCATTTCTGGTCCACTGCAGTCCACTAGGAGGCCTAAGATTTCCAATTAAAACTTATGACAAAACATTTTGCTTTTCTTTTAGAAGTACAACCGTTATTGTGCTGCATAAATCAGCCAGCAGGGTGCCATGGGCACAGCTTTGTTTGTTAAGCTGTCCTTTGCAAGTGTGTACCCAGTTCCCAGTGTTGATTAAAGGCAAGGGACACACAACATCTAAGAGTGGCACCCTCTTCTCTCACCAGACATGTGCTAGAGGTCTGCAGTATGAGACCCCTGGCAACAGGAGACTGGTGTACACACATCTGCATACCTGGAATTTAGCTCAGAATGCATCTTTGGCATCTTGGGAAAGCTGGAAGGAAATTATTTTCCACTGCAGCAAACGGTTGAGTTCCAAAATCTCCTAAAAGACAAGTTGCCTTCAAGCATTTAAATAAGGGAGGGGTAGTGTCCACAGTCTGTTACTGAAGGTCCTTCTCATTCATTTCCACAGCACTAGTTCCTATTCCTCCAAGTCTTCTACCTTCTCTACCTCCCCTTTACCCAAGATCCATCTGCTGACAGAGAGCTCACTGAGTCCTTGCCCCACCGAGTGCCTCAGAGCACCAAATGATCATTACCCAAGTCACTAATTGCCCCGTGGTTGGTTAGTAGCAATTAGAGTAATTTACATGGTGCTGGATTAGCGTGTGTTTTTCATCTCATTTGCAGTTTAGTGTCTTAAACGTCTCACAACTAGACCAAGCCTGTGTCACAGTATTAGTGAGTGCTGCCCCTGCAACACAACCTGGTTTGTTTTTTTTTTTTTGCCCCTTCATGGGCATTTTTTAATTGAAGGAAAGAAAATTCAGAAAGGAAAGTTATTCAGCTTAGACAAACTCAGAATTCCAAAATAAAGCTTAAAACCCCACCAGCATGTGGCAAAAAAGTCCAAATCAAACTATCCCTTGTAGTGTTAAATGCTCTCTAGTTTGGAGTCTGCCCCAGTGGTGCAGGGGAATGAACGCAGAGCTCAACACCAGGTGCCACAAATGGGCCCCAAAGTAGTAAGACTCACCTGCAACTGAGGAGCTCTGTGTGACTCAGTATGTGATCTACACCTTAGTAATGCTATAAGGGAAATAAAAACCCAGCAACCAACCAAACTCCCATGTTCTGGCTTCATCCTCACTACCTTCTGCCAGGAATTCATACTGCTTTTCTGGAGTGCAACATGACACTAGCTGAAATAATACTCCTATTAGGACCCACTTATAATCATATTTTGAATAAGAAACAAATATACCTGCGATAGTACCACTGTAGCAAAACAATTTGGTTCTTTGCTGTTTTCTGTAAAAAGCAGAACATTTCTTTTTGCCCTTCTGCTGTTGAAATGGCACTTTTGGTTCCTTAAACTGTGAAAAAAAAGAAATTTAACTGAGAGGAAGACTGGCCACACTTTATCTCTGAGCTGATATAATTTATCTGGTTGCCTAAGGGCACAGAAAGAAGGAATTAGAAAACCTTTAAATGGGCAAGGCCAGAAGAGTAAATGTTAAAATGCACTTGTTGAAAAAACTGCATCCTCTCCCCTCAGACCCAAAACCAAATAATCCAGGTACCAGCACTTTGTTTCCCTGATGTGTCCTCACTGCTGCCCTGCAGACAAGTGCAGAGTAAGCTCAGGAGAGGAGCTCTTTGGCTTTGAGGTCATCACCAAGTCAGAGCAGTCAGAGGTGGTTTGCCGCAGGAGGAAACCACTGTGCAGGGTGAAGCAGGAAACTTCCTCTGCCATAGAAAATAAGAGAATGATTCAGACACTTGTGCCTAACTTCCTCTCCCAGCTACAGGTGTTAAAAAACTAAACAGGAACCCCTAGCATAGGCACCTGAAACATGGTTACCTATGGAAACCTGTGGTTTCTTTTAGTTTTAAAAGTAATTTCTCATCTAAGCTTAGTGCTGCTAGAAGAGCCTAGTTTTTCCTTTCAAAGTAACTCCCCAGCACCTGAATGGTGATGTAAGCATCTGAGAGCAGCTCCCTGCTTTCTGCACCTGGGCTGCGGGCACAGACACCTGGCTGAACTGGTACTCACAGGTGGATGCTATGCTGCACAGCAGAGAGGAAATGAAGATCAGATGTAGAAAAGATGAATGAACACAGCTGAGCCCTCTCAGGTGCCCTTGCAGCAGCAGTCCCCTGATACCCACCTTAACAAGTGGCCAGCCTGTGCCTCATGTAATGCAACTCCAGCTGTACACTCTGCGTAGGTTGGGATCAAAGCATTTTTGTGTCTGGAGTATGAACACTCAGCCTTCACATGCCCATTTTAAAACTGCCGAAAGTATTACTGCTCATATTTGTAGCAGGAAGCCTCTTCCTGCTACAAATCTTCCTGGGTGTCTAAAATCCAGCCCCTTAATTTTCTGATTTAATAAATATTATGGTGCAATTATGAGATGACTGCACATGGAGGAAAACAACTTGCAAAATAAGGTGCAAATATTCACTGTCACAAAATGTATGTACATATACTGGAAAAGCAAGTTACAGTGGGGGGTGTCTCATAACCTGAAAAGACAACCAGGTTGTCTGAATCACACTGTAGCCAAATTTCCATGCTCAGCTGAGAGAAAGCAAGCCAGAGCCTCTCACTGGATCACTACTGCCTTAGGAAGGAAACTGTAACTAGAAGGAATACAGGGTGCCACCTTTGCTGACATTCATTCTTTTTGCTGCAGACTTTTGAGTTACATATCTGTCTCCCAGCAAGCTGGGGGTAGCCTGCAGTAGTAGGCATGGATTAATTGTCTAGGGAGAGGTAATGGGGAAATAAATGTGGACACAGGAAAACAAGAACAAAGCTGAAATGCCTCTGAAGAAATTGCACTGAAAACATTGATGTGCTGAGTCCAAAGCCCAGAGGTACCCGCACTGAGTGAACTAAAGTAAAAGGGCTGGAACTGACACACACCAGTGAGGCTGTCCTGGGGAAAAGAAAAGCAGGTGGGGCAAGCAGAATTCCCTGACTGCTCTCACCTGGGAGCACATGCTGCATCAGCCCAGGTGCATCTTGCCAGGAGCAGGAGAATGTGCCCAGTTCCCTTTCATGGCTGAGGGCCCAGCAGTTAGAGCTGTAGCGAGCACCTTTTGCCCTCTGGTGTGTCTGAGTCCCAGGAGCTGCGCACAGGACACAGCAGCAGGAGGAGCAACGTGAAGATTACAGCACCCATGAACTGCAGTATAGCTTAGCAACACTCCTGTGAAGTTAGTCACCAGCTACACTGAGCATGCTTATAATCAACAATGCAAATGCTTTTAAGGACACTTTGTAAGCACAAAAATAGTAGAAACAAAACTCGGTGAACAATTTGAAAGATACAAAAAAGTGCCTTTCCATAGCAGTGCTTTAAAAATGCACATAATGGTATATACTCTTATTGCTCAAAAAATCTAGTCTGAAATATTAAAACAATTTCCAGAGGTGCTGAAACAGATTTTAAAAAAATCATATGAAACAGTTCAGCAGAGACAGCACCACTAATTTTTCTCTTTTCATGATGCACCTATTTAAAACTATATAGTTATAGATGTGTAATTTTCCACCTCAAATTAGCAAAACTTTTTTCCTATTCATAAAATATTCACAAAGACATTTATTTCATCATTTGGATTAAAAAAAACCAAACAACTTTATAAAAAAGGAATGGGGGAGAGGAACACTGTCACAATATTTCTTAAATATCATCCTGAATTACTTTAAGGAGAGATTATTTTATATTTGTTTTACACATGTGTGGATACTGCCAGGTCAAACTGCTGTCTTTGTTTCATTCTTTGGGAAAAAGAAAGTGTTTAAAGTTTGCTTTTGGAGAAAAAGTAGGCAAACAGTGAAATTATTTGCCCTATGAGCCTATTAACAGTATGTATTGACTATATCCCCATGCTGACAAGGGAAGCTGTAACAGCTCAAGATGGGGTAGTTACAGTCCAAGTATTTTAGCTGTTTTACAAAGGCTGTGTCCCACCACCCTGCAAGGAATGTGCAATGACACATAAGACCACTTACACTACCTTATCACAAGGACTGTCATGCTTGATGCGGTGACTGATTGTAAATCGGTGACCAACAAAAAACCAAGCAAACCAATAGTCTATTTTCTACTCATATGGGCCCTTAGATGAAATTCTTAGCAAATGTTATTGCCTCTTTAAGGTTGTTTTATTTCCAGTCTTCTTCCTTGCCTGCTAGAAGTGCAATGCTGTAATAAACAGGTAAATGCACTGGTCAGAGTCTCTGGCGGGTCAAAGAAAACAGAGAGAATTCCTACTCTGCTTGTCCTGAAATTGCTGCTCCCTTCTCTCTTTCCAGAAGGGAGAGTTTCCTGGCCATTTCCAATCCATTACAAACAATACTTTTTTCACACATTGCCAGACGCTTGTGTTTTTAAGACACTATATCTCACCAGGCCCAGACCAGGTGAGACTGGATGCTGTGCATGCCTGTGTGAGCACACACGACTTTCTACAGAAACCTACCTGTTCATTCAGGGTTAGAGTTACACGCACAGCTCACCGATCGGCGTGGGTCAGCCTTGGGGGTTGGCAGGATTTTCAATTGCAGGAGTCCTGGCAGCTTTCAGAAGGGGTTAACACAAATATATTCATCTTGAGCCACAGAAACAAATGATTGAGCCTATTATCAGTTAGAATGCATAATGGTTTGGAATAATATATATTTATCCTACTTAACTGTATGGACAAATAAGTTTGAAATAATTTCTATCAGTGTATATTTTTAAACTATTTGAAAGGAGGGGGAGGCTCTTTATAGTATAAATATATTTCACTCCAGCCCACTATATATAAAATCTATTTCTTTCCTCTGAACATACTCATTTTCAGTAGTATTATGACCAGAATGTTTTGGTATGTTGCATCTGTACTTTTCAATCAATGGACAACGTACAGTTACCAGCCGAACACCTCAGCTTTGCAGAATTTACCCACCACAAACTGCTGAGAAGTTTGTGGGTTTGAGTTTTTTATTTCTTTTCTTTAAAGTGCCCCCTACATCTCCATCTTTATAAGATTTGACCAGTTAGAGTCCGATTCCAGATAATATACTGACTGAAACAATAAATACGGTTCTACAAAAACATTCTGGTTATCTTCTATAATTGCGACGAAATATATCACAATATATTATATACCTACACTTATTATACATGCACAAACATGTCTCACATGGACAGACACTACAAAAAATTATCTCCCTCCCCCTCCCCTAAATGCAGAAAAATAAGAAAATGGGGGTTTGGTCCAATCCATAAGAAGGGTAAAAGAAACTCAAAGAGTGAAGCCAACACCTCTCTATCCACTTTTCCCAATGAAGTATCAACACCCCTAAGCCCCCATCTTTCTTAACCTAGCCATGAAAGGGGAATGTCTTTACATTTAGCCATAGCTGCAGTTTGAGATCACCTCTTTTAATGGGGCTATCATCCACATCCCCACATCCTCTCCATGTGCACAGGATCACGGGCTGGCGGATCACAGAGCAGCCCACAAGTCATGGAGAGCACTGGCCCTGGGGACTGACTACCAGTCCCGTGACAGCTTGGTGTTCTGATCCCTTTTGGGGGGTGCAGGGGGCGGCCCCCTCCGTAATGTTGCATAGCCAGATATATGACTGCCCCCAAAGCTGCTGGTCTTCTGCTGGTCAGCTAGCAGCTCTGGCGGGGGCGGAGGCAGGGCCATGTCGTCCATGGTGGCCGTGGGCTCCGTTCTGGACATCCGCGCGGAGGAGAGCGAGCCGTGCCGGGTGATGGATTTCCGCTGCAGCGTCCGGTTGAGGTCTGCCAGGAATCCCGGCTGAACGCTAAGGCTGGACTTGGGTGAGGTGGGCACTTGTGGGCCAGCTGAGCCTGGGGGCTCTGCAACCTCTGCCTGTGTCAGTCGGGTGCTGTCATTCCGCTTGGGGCGTGTGGGTGGTGGGGCTTTTTTCACAGATGGTTTTGACCATGCCTGTGGCTGGGGATTTACAACAGCAACTTTCGGGGAGGTGCTGCCTGAAAACACAGACGGAATTTCTACTGGAGGGGGAGGAAGGTCTATTTCAGGTGGTGGTGGTGGGAAGTCTGAATCGGATGGTGGTGAAGGGAATTCAACCACAGGTTCCTTTCCAGGCATACTCGGAACAGAAGCCTTGGCTGGGATCCCACCTTGTGGAAGGACAATGGGCAGGCTCACACCAGAAAGGTTGAGCTTTCCTGGCTTTGGAGGGGCTGGAGGAGGCGAAGACTCCTTGGAAGGAGATCCTGACGGCTCTGGGGAGTGTGCAAATTTGCTGACAAGGCGGTCCACTGAAGGCCTCTTGGACTCATGGTACTCAGCAGAGCTTGTGGACTTGATGCTGGAATTGCGTTGAGGTGTTGGAGGTGGTTTCTTCCCTCCAGGGCTTGATGTCTTGCCGGCCTTTTTTACTGGAGACCCTGATTTGTCAGGCGGGGGAGAACCTGCAGAGGAGGCTGGGGAAGGAGGTGGAGGAGGAAACACTAAACTGCTCTCTGGTGGAGGAGGGGGAAAATCTGGTGAAGGAGCAGCAGCAGGCTGCCATTTGGGCTTTGCCTTCACTGCTGGAGGCGACTGTGGAGCCACGCTCAGTGGAAGGGGTTTCAGAGGCTGGGGCTCAGTGGCAGGTGGCGTGGGAGGAGGGGGGAACTGGCTGACTATCTGCTTCACCACCAATGGCACTGGGGACTGAGGGGATGGAGGAGGCTTTACCGAGAAACTCTGCTGCTTTGGGAATGTTGCAGGGGGAGTGGGGCCGGGAGGGGCTGGGGGCAGAGGAGGCACCTGGGGAGAAGTGATACTTGGTTGTTTCTTTATTGCAAGGGGCAAGGCTGCAGTCACAGGGGGAGTGACATGTGTGACCCCTGGTGACGCGGCCTTCCCACTAGACTGAGGGGGCAGAGCAGCCATGACCGGCTTTGGGGGTGCCTGTGGCGGTGGTGGGGCAGGCACAGGAGGAGGCGGTGGTGGCAACGAGGAGGCAACAGCGGCCTGGCTTATATTTGGTTGAACCTGATGTATCTTGGGGGGCGGTGGTGGTGGCGTGAACTGTGGCACAGAGGGGCCACAAGGTGCCGGCTTCAGCTGCGCCATGGCCGAGCCCGGTGTGGGGGGCGGCGGTGGGGGCGGAGGGGGCGGCATGACCCCGTTGGGGGGCACCAGGATCTGAGGCTTTGCCGAGGCTGGGGGCGGCGGCGGGGCCTGCTGTGCAGCAGGGGCTTTGGAAAAAGGGCCGCCGTGCTGGGCCGCGTTCTGCAGCCGGGTGATGGTGCTGTACTTGACGAACATGGTGGCGGGCGAGCCCGCGGACGGGGCGGCCTGGCTGGGCAGGGGCGGGGGCGGCGGCAGCGGCGGGGACGGCTGCGATGCCGAGTAGGGCGTCACCGCTTTCGTCTGCGGGGACACGGGAGCTGCGACAGACACCAAGGGCCGACCTGCAGGCTCCACTCGGGCCTATGGGGAAGGGATTTTTAGTGAAAGTGGAAAGGGAGAAAAAGAAGAGAGAGGGAAGGAGGGAGAGAGAGAAAGAGACAAAGAGATTATGAAGTGAAGGTCTAAATGTGCCCAACATTAAAAATTAAGTGTCAGATTACAGCATGCAAGAACTATTAGGAAAACACTGGAGCAAGAGACAATTCCATACACTGACAAGCCTGGACCATGCAAGGGGATGGGGCAGGCCAGGAGGGGAGCCGGCAAAAATCAGTGGAGCCAGTTCTGCTCCAAGTGAAGCTGATGTCAGAGAGAAAATACACCAGCCTTGTTCCTTCCCTGGAGCAGGCAGTGGGACCCAGTGAGAATTACTGGCCTGCTTTTGGGCGAGCATTTTTTTTCGACACAAACCGAGCCCCCCAGAGCACCCAAGCTATGATAGAGGCAGAGCCAGACTCCGTAGACATCTCAGCTCAGTATGACTGGAATCAAACCACACACAGTCTCCCAGAGCACGTCAAATCCTTACATCTGTTAGTTCAGGCCTTACACTGTTCAGTGTTACAAAATGTAAAAATCCTGAACTGCTCTAAAAGACAGAGAGCAAGCTCTGCACAGGAATAGTACTGAGATATTTTTCCTTCACATGCTCTACTATCCACAACTGGCAAGGAAAAATTAGGGAAGAAGAATCAAGTTTCCAAGAAAATTTCCCCAGAAGGAAATGTTTAGACATCTGCAAAACAAAGTAAACTTGGGAAAGTTACACATGCAACTCATACGTTAAACAGAAAAAAAGGAAAAACAGGGAACAGCTGACTAATGGAAGGATCAATGGGAAAGCAGCAGGCAGTATTTTAGTCGACTCGTGTTGTGCTCAAGTTAAGTTGTTTCTCAAAAACTGTAAGCCTACATTCCTCTTAAAAGTTAAAATGACAATTACATTACTCAAATTTATGAACATCCTCCTAATACAAAGTGTTTTGCTACAAGCCAAGTTGTGAATTTCACAGTGCACAGCACAGAAACATGCACTAGAAATGCACCACCACCATAGTGACTGACCACACTGGGTACCTATACCTTATTAGTAGATACTTTGCAATAAGTAAGCCCAATTTTGCTCATCTGCACAGGAAGAGAATATTTGCATATTGCTTTGTTCTAAACACAGGTGCACAGTGTCTGTATGTGCAGAACTCCATCAAAAGGATTAGAGTCTGAAGCAATAAACAGTGATTTTACAACAAACATGGGGCGTGCCTCTACCTGTCACATTAGGTCTGGAAGGTCAGAATATAAACAGGTCTGGAACTAAATCAAGGTGTTCGCATTACAAAACAGAAATCTTGATCTCTTGCAAGTGTTAGTCTGTAAATTACCATTCTCCCAATCACCCAGGTTAATGAATTTTCAATTAGCATCACCTGACCTTAATTGTGCCCTGTATAAGGCACCATGGGTGTGCTGCCCTTAGTTGTGCTGAGCTTCACTTTTGACACCTGAGACAGCAAAAGGCAACAGGAAAAATAAAGGCAGCATAAAACAGAGAGGGAGATGAAGGCATAACAGAATAGCCCCTGAATGGCAAGACCTTGGGGAATCTTGAATTTGTCCCTCTAAGCAGACACAGTGAGCATGCATTTGGGTATTTGTTGTAGCATAGCATTTGAAATAAGGTGCTCAAAATCTAACAAGCAAAATGAGACTCAATGAGCTCTTCCCTGCCCAACTGGGAACCAATGAATAAAGTATCCTTTGAGCAAAGAGCAATCTTTCAAAATATGAAGCAGATGGATTATATGCATTTTGGGAAAAGTTTTTCTTAATCTTAGATATATCTGAAAGAAGGTGGTGTTTTCCTTATACACAATGAAGACATTCATCTTCACAGTGAACAAATTAAACACTCAGGACACAGAAAAGACTATTGGGCATCTCAGGATGGGGGACCCCCTCCCATCTCCACAGAATCAAATAAATTTCAACATCCAGAAACATAGTCTGTGATACTTTCTTTACAGAAGAACCTTGAGAGAGAGTCATTTGTCCTTTTTTTGTCCTTGTAATTATGTGATGTCCTTCTGTGTATCTTGAGAAATTACGTATTGCATACTGGCAATTCCTATTTGTAACATGCATCTTCATGACTATCTGGAACTCTAAAAAAAAGGCTATAAAAACAATAGTATCACTTTTTATATAAACTGTGCCCTTTTTTTAAGCTATTTTTTTCCTGAGAAAACAAACTTTTGCAATTGAACTGTTTGCTGTCTCTTTTCCCATGCTTTTGGACTGGTTACCAAATTTAGGTCAAATATGACAGATCTCTAGCAATCTCAGTATGTTTTTGATCTCAAGAAATTATTGGGAACTTACTGGTAAATGAGGGAAAAATGGGCAGAACTCACCCGTTATTAATTTGCTGAGGCACTAGTACAACACCCTGGCTGGAAAGAGCACCAATGCCATCTCCCTGCTGACACACAGCACGCTCTGTTCTGCCCTGCCTGCCCAGGGGAAGGGACATGCAAGAAAGTTCTGCCACTCGGCAGCAACCCGCCCACATGAACTTCTTGAGCCAGCTTTGACACCAAAGCACTGTAGCAAAGCTGCCACTGAGGTAACTGGAGACTAATCTGACTAAAGCACATCTCAGTATCACTGGTAACACATTCCCATGTAAATTACAATTCTTGAACACTGCTGTTGCCTTTCTTGCCACGCAGTTTAACATTTTCCACTGCCAGTGTGATTTCCTAGTTATTCAAATTCCCCAGGCCAGATTTACACTGTAGTTTCACTGAAAATAAATTTGTCACCAAGTCACTCAATTGTTTAAACACAGCTTCTGTAAGTTTATGCAGTTCATTTCATTTGGATTCTTTGGAAGTTTTAGGGCAACCCATTTACCTGTGTTATATATAAGGTGAAGAAATATACCTTTTCTTGGATTTGCAGAAAGGAATTCAAATTGATGAAATCTTGATACATGGATAGCTTCCTCAATGCAGGAAGCATTCTGAATATTTTATTTTTACCATGGCTTTAATAATGTAGCATAAAAATTATTGGGGTTTAAATAAGCAATTGCCAGCAGCACTACAGACTTGATAAAGAACAACAGTAACTCCAAGGCAGTGAACTTCAAACTTTTGCTTAAAATCTCACAGCCAGCATATGTACCAGCAGGATTTACACTGAACCCAGAACTTGAGGAAACAGTAACATTATCATTCTCACAGCAGTACTCTTTCACTTCTGTTGGACAGCAAATGCCCCATCTCGTGCAGCTCACTCCTGCAGGAATGATGCATCCTATACCCACACAGAAGCCATCTGCTGATGGACATGCACCATGTGTTGCACTCATGCAGTAGGAAAACTTGGACCACAATTTAGCAAGCTACATTCCTGGACTGAGTACTACATTACTATTAGAATCAGACAACTTCCAAGCCAGCAGGCATTGAGGAAAAGTTAAGAATCCCAAAGGATGCAGCCATATCAGCATTCACACTGTATATGCTCTCTCATTTGAAAAGCAGATGTGTTATCTTATTTTTAGTTATTTATCTGAAACACCAGTGCCAGGTGTATTGGCCTGTGGTTTTGGTTTTAAAAAACTTCCTTCTCTAGCTTGAACCTGTGGTCTGGGGAAGATTCAGAACTGACAGAAGTAATGACAGCTTCTCACACATGTAGATGCTACAGTTAATGACATCAAGGCTGTTCAGGAACCTGGAGATTCCTTGAAACCTGACAACCAACAGCTTCAGCAGAATTTCTCCTGGGCATGGAAATCTTCCGCAGGAACTACAACAGTTAACCATAGAAAGAGCAGAAAACTAACCAAACCACAACAGACCTGAGCCCCAGCCTCAATGGGTTTAAGTCTTCTGTAACTCTCTACCAGCAACAGGAGATACCATATCTGCCTTAATCCACAACTGCTGACAATGTCAGTACTTTTGTTTTGACCATATCTGCCATTACTGGTTCCATTTCCACCTAACAGAAAACTTTTGAGTAAAATACTGATGTACTTCAAAATATATATACCTGCTTTCAGGCCCCAGTTATTCACATCTTTACAAAGGAAAGATGTGGCTACTTAACTGGAGAAAGATCTTAGTGAAAGAATTTCATTCAACTTGTTAACAGCTTATCTTTTTATTTTGTCTTCATTCAACATTAGTAAATAAGACTCTGTGAGAGGGGCTGTATAATGCCTTCAAAGAACAAAAAGCTTTTATGCACACAAATAAAAGAAAGAACAGAAAGCTGCAGGGCTTAATTACCTGAAAAAGTGAACCCCAAAAAACAATTATATAGTAGTGTAAATTAACCACGTAAAACAGAGAAGAAATGCCACTCAAGACAGAGGTGTAAGAGGTACAACACTGTCTCATACATTTTGTTGGGTGTTGGTTCTCAAATTAAAGTCTTCTTGTTACCTTGCTGGATTCCTCCAGTTGAGTGCCTCGTTTCCAGGCCTCAGAGAACATGGAGCTGACAATGCTCTGGGAACGGACATGTCCAGCTGTCTGAGTGTCAGAAACTCCACTGTCAGACTGATTAGAATGATTTGATTGAGATTCTGTTCAGGAAAAAAGTTAAGGAACAGTTAGCTTATGTTTCTGAATGTAAGAGTAATGTCAATATAATGCAACTCTGTGACTTGTTAAACACGTGCCCAGAGGCCACTGCTCCCAGTAACGACTGTGTAAACTCTAGCTCACATCCAGGATTTCAGCTGATGCCTGGTATTAACCAAACCTGAAGCTGCACAAGGATGAGAGCATGTCAGGTACATTTCGAAGTAAAATCACACTGCAGCTGTGTGGGTTCTGAACCATGCCACATCCCTGCACTTTGGGAAATGCTCCATTTCATGCAGTGCATGCAACCTGCTCTCTTCAGCACTCCCTTCCAGCACAAACTTAAAAATGTACCCTGGGCACAGGCCGTGGACAGGCAAACTGCACCAGCCAAGGCAGGACACTGCTTGCAACAGCCCATTCCTCAGCACAAGGGAAGGGCTGGTGTGCATCCTGCAAGGAGCCAACATAAATGATGCTCTGGGTCCACACGGTGTCTTGACAAGACAGCAGCAGGCACAGCCAGACCAATTTATTCAGCCTGGCACCTGCTTACTGTGTAATCCCCAAGTATCCTGGCACAGGCTGGAATGAAACTTTGGCAGAACATGCTTGGCTAGCAAGCTGTGGCTCAGTTCCCTACAAGAATTTACACTTTATCAGAAAAACACCCAATTTGGATGGAGAAATTGTCAGTGACCAAGAATTTACTGCTATGCCACACAGTTGAAACAACAAAGTACCTTCCCAGTTAGGCTGCATTTGCTTAGCTCATTCTTACAGGTTACTTTCTGAACCTGTCCAATTCAGTAGCATTACTGCCCAACCCGTATGTGTGGCAGACAATACACCTTCACACCATAGCACATTTTCAATAAAGAACCTAGCCCCTGAAGGTTCTGAATAATCTACCAAAGCATCAGTCAGCTCTGAACAATGAAATTACACTGTATAAACTATTTATCAATTTTTAAACTGTTACATGCAACATCAGCCCCAGTTCTGCTGAGAGATAAACAGGAGCACATTAATGCAAGCATGCACAATTTGACATAGGAATAGAAACAGTATTTTCAAAGTTTTCTCTAAAGAGATTGTTTGTATCTTTGCCTTTGGGAAGGGCCTTGTTCTTGTTTTCCAATTTCAAATATTTCGGTCTACAAAGCAGTTTAAGAACGACATATATACGTTCCATGCATCATTACAATATAAATTTGATTTTTCAAATAGGTGAACATACAGGCATCAGGAATTTGAAATTATGTTTCCTCCTCCCAGTATAAGAAAAACATTGGTTTTTGAAGGTGAACAAGAAACTGCTGCATATTTCAAATACAGACATCACTGCAAGTAATACAGCAAAATAGGTTTTTACCTGTATGCATATATATAGATATACATGTACAGAATGTTATAGATAAAGTCTGTGTTTTAGACTAAACATAGCACAAAAGACTTTGGAGAAAGTCTTGAGGCATCTAGACAGCAGATGATAAAGGCAATTGAATCTTTGTATTATGAGATAGATCACATTGTTACCTGGCAAACTAGATGAGCTGGAGCCTGACTTGATACTGGAGCTAGACAAGGAGGTCCAGTCATATGCTGATTCTGTTCTCTTCAGTGCTTCCTGATAGTTCATGTACAGTTGCTTCCCGTACTAAGCAAAATCACAAACAAGTTTAACAACTCTGTATAGGCTGTACATTCTTTTCAGACTGTTGAGCTCCACCTCTGGCTTCTCTATTAATTCTTTCCTCCTGCCAGTCCCCCCAAAAACAACACAGGCTCTATGTTAAGGAGTTCAGGTAATATTAATAGTATTAGTGAAGTGCTGAAAGAAAGAAAAACAATTTATTTATGCTAGAAGACACAGTGTCAAGCAAGAAATGGCCCAATGAATAAACTAAGACAAGCTGAGGATCTTGAAAATGAACTCTATTTTCTAAATTCTCTTTTCCCATAAGCCTTCTTTTTTAAAATCTGAAAGGAGCTCGCTACAATCTATGATGTCAGAAGTGTGTCATGTGACAGGGATGCAGCAGAAACAAGAAGAAAAGGCCCAATTACTGAATTATTATAATAAAGCCTCTAACAATTTTGCTATGGAATGAAAAATATAAGAGAAGATTTTCCAGTTCATGTTCAGAATAGTTAAACAGAGGGAAGTTAGATTTCCCATGTATTTTGCTAAGTAAGAGTAAATGGTTTTGAGCAGATGATGACAGCTACTCATGACAACACTGCAGGACTGCCTGGGGGTTACCTTAGCAATGCGGATGCCATTGATCCATTGGTGTAGAGTTCTTACATCATCACAGCAAAGATACTTGATGTACTGGGACTTCTTCTGGATCTGAGGATGCTGCAAAAAATTGTGCATTCTCATCAATGTTTTCATAGCTAGGAATGCAAGGAAAGCATTTATCTGTTAATGTCTATAGAGATAAACCTAATGCTGGAAGCTCTTCAACAGTATTTAACCCCACTTAAAAATGTTGCAGAATATTTCAGGAGGTGAATTTCAGTGGGGATTGCTTGACACACACATTTGGAAGGGTGTCTAGCACATACTGATTTCAAACACTAAGAAAGGGCTAGTCTTTCACTATTCTAGGGCTGTAGTACTTTCTACCCACCAAGAGTCTTCTGTACCTACAGACTGACTCACCACTTGACAGAGACAACCAATATTTCACCTTTCTCCCACATAAAAATCCCCCAAACTAGAGGAAAACAAACACACTGGTCTTCTCTACCTTTGCAGGCTTAAGTGAGACATTCCCCAAGTGACATGCTGTTAAGCACAATTCTATTTTCAGCTCATAAAGCCTTCAAGGCTCCCACCTTACTGATACAGGGGTATCATCTAAAAAAACACTTGCTGCTCCCACATACATGTATGAAAAATGTAAAGGCACTGTATTTATTAATTCAGCAGTGAAGAAACAAATGCATGTTTTTCAAAAATCAGGCACTGGAAATCATTCTGGATGGACTATTCAGTTGTTTCCTGTCCATGCTATAGAAATTACAGGTCCCTCAGCTACTGGGGTAACTGAACACCCCAGTTCTTATAATTTCCTCTGTTACCTTATAGCTCAGTGACACAACAGAGTTTTGCTAGAGGATTGTAGGTATTTAAGTTTTACTGAAGACTGACTGAAACATATATCAAAGAACTTCTAAGCTTTTCAGAATTATCTATCCCGTTTCCTTCCAACACAATTATTTTTAAATGAACATAGGATGTTTATGTCCATAAAGAAAATACATGTAACAAACTACTATCTACTTTCTTATGATAGTAGATAGTATTTTTCACTACCAGCCTCCTACACATAGATGTTGTATAACAAAGAAGAGTCTATAGAAGCAAATACAATTACTTCACTAACAAGCCAGCTTCTTTCTGGACTTGTTCAAATCTTTGATTATATAGAAATAATTTCTCAGAAATCTGACAATTTGGACCAAGGACCTAACTTTATATACTAGCACACAAATGTTACATTTATCAATAGCAGAGCACCTAATGTGAGCACACTACGTTTTGATATGAACAAAGGAGTGAAGATAAGTCCAGTCTGAACACCAGTAGAGAATTGGGCCTTTGGTCTGTATCTGCCATTTACCTGTACCAAAGGAGAAACTTCCTGGTTTACTGAACCTTTGTGGCACAAGACTCTATCTCCATTTTAAAAACTGTGTGGTTTCTATACATTAGTACTAATTGAAAATATTGATGTAACATTATAAGAACTGATGAAGGCAGAACCAAATCCTGCTTAATATTATAATTTGGTGACTCATCAGTTCCACGTATAAGCTACCCAACTAAATCTACCCCAACTGATGAAGGCAGAACTGAATCCTGCTTAATATTATAATTTGGTGACTCATCAGTTCCACGTAGAAAATACAGCTTCACTTGGTATAAGCTACCCAACTAAATCTACCCCATTAATTTACCTAGGGACAATTTCTACACATTTTTTGTGTCTTCAGTAATGTTACCATTAAATTTGATGCTCAGAATGGCAATTTTTTTTTTAAATCTACTTGGTATGGTCAAAAAGTCTGAAAATAAAATTTACTATTAACCTGTCCAAATGATATAGATGAAAGTGACATGTAAGTAGAAAAATCAATTTACTTAAAGGAATTTATATATACCTACAAATAACTGACATTTTTTGGATTCAATGACCTATAAGAACATGGAAAATACTTCCAGTTTTAGCTGTGTACTTTCTCAACTAATATCATATCCCATATTTAATACTCCGTGTCTCCTCAGTGGGCTCAAATACATGTTTCCCTGTCCACTGGAAAATGAAATCCTTTTTCAGGCAGTGGACAGGACGCACTCCAGGCACAGTAAACAGTCTAATGTACTGACATGTACAACACCACACGAGCTCCAGGGCAGGGAGGGGAAAAGGGCAATGTAACCACCTCTTGTTACTGACACATGAAGACATGTTATTTGCCTGAACACAGTGTGAAAGCCTGTTTTAAAATAGCTTGGTACCCAGCTATCTTGCAGGAACTGACACCATTCTGAACACCATGTGGGAGTCAACAGAAACTAGGAGATGTGTTGATTCAATTAAAATAACTTTATGAACTCAAGTAATTTGATGTGTTTAAGATCAGGCCACCGGTTTTATAACAGTTTTTGCTACTCATTCTTTCTGCCTGTCATTTATACTCAGAAGATACCTGCTTTACAACATCCCTTCTCCCTCAGGTTGGTTTATAAAGGGTAGACTTGAATCTTTAATATTAATTTCTCCACTACTCTGGACCTACACTGAGAAGATGATAACTCCCTGAAATTAGCATTTCAAGGGGTATTATCTCTTTGAGCCTAAACAGTTGTAAGGTATAGAGTTGCTAAATGGAAAAGAAGACTTTTAGTGTTGTGTTTTAGAGTGTAATGAACAGTCAAATAGACTGGCATTCATAAGTTTGGAAATAATACAATACAGGGCAATATGAAAACATTTATGAAGTCATGACCAGCTCAGAGAACAGGCAACAACTGTTCACTAACTGTTTACATTGTATACAAGAACTAGAGGAAAATTAGATTAAAAGCAGCTGATGGTTTAGAACAAGTAAAAGTGTATTCAAAGTACAGCCAACTGCTGCAGTGTTACCTTTAGCACCAAACAATAGTCTGTGGGTGCCTTGTATTTGTTCCGATAGTCCTGTCCATAGTAAACACTGACATGGTCTAGCTGTAGGAAGCACACAAGATCCCGTGACACCTAGTAAATACAAAAATGGTCATTTACAAAGTATCTTTATAAAAATCCACACATGTTGACACAATCAGTATAATGTTAAGATCCAATACTAAGATCTAGTTAAGGTCAAATATCAATCTCATTCAAAAACTACTGACACAAGAAGGGGATACAGCTATGCATAAACTCTTTCACTACAGCTTCATTTTTAATCGAATGCACTCTGGTTTTGGTGTTTTGTCCGCATTTTGCCTTTTGACAACATTTTACATTGGACTACTACTGTTTACTGAAAGCGGGCATCGGGAGAAATTAAGTATGATTGGTTGAGCAGGAAGTTATCAGCTGCTGGTTATATTTCACCCTGGTAATAATCAAGGTGTCCAAATTCCAGTGTGACTGTAAGTAGAATTCTAAAGATGTCTGGCATTGAGTGTAGGGCAAAGAATTTCAAAAGGCTACTCGCATACAGATTGTTTTAATGAAGCAAAAGATTATGGAAAGAACATCTGACATGCATTCAGCTCTAAAGGGAGCTGTCCTGCTGATAGAAATTTCCTTTTCATTCCCAGATGTGTGGGAGGTGGACTTCCTGTACTGGGAATCATCTGAGGCTGTCAAGACTGATGGATTCATGGATGACTTGAACTCACAGTAGTTCAGCCTTGAAGCTGTAATTTATTTGTAGTGTCTTTCTACTTATTCGGCATTACTGACACAGAGAACAGCAGTAAGTGATCCTGAAGAAATGAAATTACATATACCAGTTTCAAAAAATGTAGCACCAATTAGTCCAAAAAGAATACCATTTATATGAACTAACTAAAAATAATAAAATTATGCAGACATTGTGGAGTTGGACTGATACTTCATGATCAACATTTGCAGAGCAATTTGGTCCTCCATGCAAATTCTGCTTCAGTAAAGACCAGCTTCTTAGCTCCAACAAAAGTTTTTTCTCAAGTATTTCTGAACACCTAACCCAAGAAGCAGTTCCCTGTAGTCTTGTATTTTTAAACTTGGGTTACACCCTTCATATCAAGTGCTGCCACAAAAATTCACACAGTATTTCCATGATAAAGCCAGCATTTTAATTAAGGGATGTGGCACTTGGAAAGGCACAGCTAAGCCAAAACTTAAAGCCAACTCTTGTATGCACTGTTTACCAGCAATAAACAATTCTGAGCAATTGCTTTAAGTAGCATACCTTTGCCTTCCCTTTAGGGACATAGTAGATTCCAGAAGCCCGAAGAAGGAAGTAACGTTTCTTCCAAGATTTCTTACCATCCTCTTTCAGCCACAAAACTCCCTCAATCTCTGGCACAGTTACAGAACTTCCACAGAAGCATTCCTGCCAATAAACAGAGGAGTTTGGGAAACAGAAAACAGAGAGCGTGCAGTGGTTTGTTTTGAATAACTGAAATTCTTTATCCAAGGAATGCACTTGTAGCAGGGACAGCTCTTTTTTCACATGAGATATAAACTGCAGATAAATCACAGAAGCAGTAAGGTAATTCAGACAAGCATGATAGGGTGTCTCAGCATTTGCTCCATGCAACAATGACAGAAAAATCATTAGCAGCCACAGTAAAGATTTTCTGACCACTGCTTCTCAGTAATAGATCCCCATGGCTTTACTGGCTTTAAGGTCACAGGTCACCTTATCTAGCCTCTTATATGTATAAGCACACACAAACCTAACTGTGCATCCATCAGACACAGCTGCAATTCATGCCAGGAGTACTTCACTGCTACTAACTACCCACAACACTGCAACTTCTGCTAACCTTCTATTTACAAAGAACTAGCAGAGAAAAGCAAATGCTTTAAATACACTCCAGATTAATATGCAGCACAGAGACTTATGAATAATCTTAGAAGACAAAAAGAGTTAAGCAGAATTACAATTCTCTGCATGTTATGGCTTCAAACCATTTTTTCAGCCACAGTATACATACATACACTTATTATTAAAACCCATATTAACAATATATTAATAAAATGCATATGCTCCTTTTAAGTTAAACTTAACTTAAGTTTAACTATTTAAGTTTAACTTAACTTAAGTTGGTTTGGGTAACTGTGCAAGTCATAATCATTATTCTGGCAATCAAGTGGAACCTATGGCACTTCAGCCATGTCACAAAAGTAATTAGTTTTCTGCCTATGAAGGCTATATTTACTGTGTGCTTTTTTTGCTCCACACTTTTATGCTCTTATTTCTGTAAATTGGTTAATGTGTTTGATAATAATTAGTTTTCTGTCATACATTTCTTAAAATTCAGTATTTTGGTTTTTTAAATTTTAAAATGTAATTGAAAAAAAATTTACTGCTTTGCTTATTATCAAAATTTGAAATATTAAATTAAACCAGTCTCCAGATCCATGCTCTAGAATTTTGTATAAATGAAAATTTGGAAAGTGCTAGTAAAAATTCTCTAGCACCACAGGTAAAAAAACCAGGTCACAAATTCAAATTTCAACTTGAAATTAATGGTTTTAGCCATAGCTAGAGGCAACCTCAATTTGATTATCACTGTGTATGGTATTTCAGATACTAAACTAAGTACAGATACTTTTTTAAACTAATCACATTTGAAACAGTGTTACATTAAAATAGCCATTTAGCTCAAATACAACACATTCCATTCACAGTCTTCCAGAATTACATTCTGCTCTGTCCATCAATTTCAACCACCACGACCTTTAGCAGTTTGTCTTCATGCTCCAAAAATGACTACTATGTCCTTTCTGGTTTGACATTCTTACCTCTAGTAGCACCTCTTTATTTCTGTCTGCCATCTCAGAGGTTTCTTTCTTCCCCAGAAGATAATTCTGTAACAAAATAAAGTTCCATATTTCTTTAGGCATTCTGAAATCAAGTCAAATGGTGTTTTTTGTTTACTTTTCTGTAGCAGTAAGAACGAAACTTTGTAGACTAATTGAAACCATCAGACTACTAAATAATACATTGAAGTAACTTATAACTTTCTTTACCAGAAATATCAATCACTCTGTACTCCTACCTAACAGCCTCATAACAACATCATCCTGCTTTTCTAAGGATCAAACAGCTCTCTGTTACAATGCATCCAGAAATAAAAATACTACGAACTTGTAAAAACCACAATAAAAAAAGTATAAACAACCCCAGGAGATCTGTTACATATTGTCATTATTTCTGCATTCAAAGAAGCACACATAGAAGCAATGTACTTCTTTTCACCTTGGTCTGAGTTTTACTGAATAGAAATATTTATTTTCACAAAGAATTATAAATAAAAACTAAATAAATAATAATAAATTCTAAACAAAATACTTGCCAACTTCTTAAAGGAACTTAACTATGCACAAGCACCAAATCTTATTTTATGAGTTTTTAACTCTTATTCAGTTTGGAAAAGACTGGGACAATGAAAAACATCTTGCTAATTCCCAGCTCTAATACTGGAAAAAAACCCAAATATTCACAAAGTTTCGCCAGTTCAATATTTTAAAACAAGGAGAAATATTGGGTTTATACTGGTACCTCACTCTTGTGGCAGTGCCTACTATATGTACTGAGAGTAAACCTATAGTCTACAAACTTTTAAAAATAATGTATAGTTTTGATGCTTCAGTGCAAAGCACTTGCATAAGACCTGGGTTTCAGATCTTTCTGAGAAAGAAATAAAATCAAGCAAAACTGATACCCACTGTAAATCAAATAAATTAGCATGTAGATGCCACACAGATATAAAAATAATCTATAAACTCAAAAGGGAATACATTAGGTAAGAGTTAAGACAGAGATCAAGTGATATTACAGACAAGAGATCAAGTGAATTTTCAATGCAAATTCTTGCAAGAGCCACCTTCTGCTTTTCTGTTTCTTTTCCTTTCCTCCCCTACAATACTGCAGTGCTGCCAGATACCAGGTCTGTAGATACCACTCGAGAGAAGAGAGGTCTTTGAGGCCATTTGAGAGGAAGAGGAGCCTTTGATTTCTCCGCCAGGGAGCAGGAAACAGGTGAATATAGGTGGGCCCAACTTCCACAGGAAGGGGCACACTCTCTCTTCTCTTGTCATTTGACTTAACTCTTTGTAACAGGTGAATATAGGTGGGCCCAACTTCCACAGGAAGGGGCACACTCTCTCTTGTCATTTGACCATGGAGTGGCTGTTCTCTTAGATTGTCTTCCCTTTCTTGCCAGCAATGCAAGAATGCACAGTGGAGAGACATTACTATTAGCAATATGTGTCAACACCTTTCTTGCATGTTTACATAATTGAGCAGCACTAAGTATGGTGTAAATCCCTGGAAACTGCCTGCCTTCATGTGCATTAAAACTACTCACATACAAATTAGCAAACAGATTGCTTCAGCTCATGGTTGTCTCCTAAGGATTGACTTTGTGCCAACAACACTGTGGATGTACAGAGTGCTGAAGTGTAAAGTTGCCTGACATTTTAGCATATACACAAGTACCAAAATGAAAGTATGGAAATGAATGCTACCAAAAATGTAAGAAACTACCATCAGCCACGCACACATTCAGCACAAACCTCAGGCTTACCTGTGGATTCTTGAAAAGTGCGTATTTCTCTATACGTTCCACAAACATTAGTTTGTTTTGACTGTCTCTTGTCCAGTTCAAGAGATTTTCAACTAAATTTTCATGATCTTCAAAGATCCTTTCTGCAACAATAACAAGTGAGGCAAATATATTGGAATCTGTTGCATTTTGTGATAGACACTAATCTGTAGTCATTTCTAAGAGACAAGGCATATATGCAGAGAAAATAGAGTTCAATATCTACTACAGTGGGAAGAAGTTTTTTGCTGAGAAAATAAAAGAACTTAGTCCACTTCCAGACATGTCTGGTGTAATTCTTTCACATCCAGCACGGACTTCCTGTTATCTTGAAGTTTATAGTTCCACCAACATATGAAATGTCTTAGTTTTTTTTTTATCTGAGAAGGCCTGCCATCCTGCAGGAACACTGCAGACTCAAGTGACAACATTTCAAAGTTTATGAGCACAAATAAGAAGGTTATCACATTTATGTGTTTTCTGGTCAACACAACTCCCAGAGGAATGGATCGGGCAGCTTTTTTCGCACAAAACTTCTTTCTACATCCCAAATGATCTCACTCATAAAGCATCAAAAAGTAGTGGGCAATGATCGGAAGGAAAACAAAATGCTTCTGAAATGCAGAATACCCATAGCGAGTACAGGTATTGCAAAGAAGTCTGAAAACTGACACCTTCTACTTCCTATGATCTCTGTTGCTCAATAAATGATGTATCAACAACAGCCTCTGAGAACTTTGGTTCTCAGTCAAAGCTCTGAGCTTTGACTCTCCATTGAAAAAGTTACCACTAGTGCTAGAACTTCAGAATACTGAAAACAGACAAAAGAGAACAGCATAAAGAAAAAGAGGAAAATTTACTGAAACAGGAGAAAATAGCTGAAAATACTCATTGCAAAGTAAAGAAAAAGAAATCTTTGGGAAGCCACTAGACCAACTTTCTCATCCTATTAAACACACTGAAGTAGAATTTTCAGATCATTCTGAAACAAGCTCAATCATGAGCTTTATTACATGAATTAGCATTTACTACATTAATGAACAGGATGATGAACATTATGAAGACAAGTATTTAAATCATTCTAAGAATGTAGACTATTGCTACATCAATAAGAATTAGAAATGCTTATAAGTATTACTTACCCATTTGCAATTCAGAGATGGTTTCCACTAATGACCAGTCTAAACTGTATCCACAATGTGATTTGTCCATCAGATTGTCTAATACTTGTCTCACTGTTTGCCTCTCATCCACCATCATTGTTTTTGAGCTGTCATCAGACATATGGACTCTGATCACCAACTGTTAAGCAGAAAATTAAGAAAACAAAAAGGATTCATCTGCCACATTTCAAATAAAAATAAAGTTTCTAACATCTTGTTTATTCTTCTAAAGTTTTCTTACAGTAGCTTAAATTCAATCAAAACACTACCTGAAAATGTAAGATGTCAAAAATGATGGCTAGATATTTGTATCGCAGACACTTAACAAGATACTGTTCTCCTTCAGCACAACAAAGTAAATATAAAGGTGTTTCCAACACAGTGAGAAAGTGCTTCAGTTGAGTGTTAAGAAAGAAAAAAAATCCTTCCTGCCGAAGTGTCCTGATAATAAAGTGTCTTTCAGACAATATCTAGGTGGAACAAACATAGATACAGAGTTCTGCACAAGCTTATAAAGGATCAGAATTTTTCAGATGTGCAGTTTAAGCTTTCTGCCTGCTTCCTACAGTATTTTCTAAAAATGGTTATTATGTAAAAAATATAGCAATATTAAACCTCACTTTTCTGGGGAATATGAAGCTGAAGTGTGAAAAAAAATCTGCTTTTAAAACACAATGGTTTTTCATAGGCATTTTAAAGAGGTCACTGTCCAGAAACAAAAATCCAGCCATTTTTTAAACCAATCAGAAGACTTAAAAACAACAGATTCTTTTTGCCAATCATTATTTTTTCCATTTTTACACCTTGTTCAGCTGGAAAAGATAAAACCTAGTAGCTGTAATACACTGGTACAATTGACTTGTTAATTTCCATCTTCCAGCCAAGACAGTTTTTCAGCTTTTGATCTACAAACAATTAATGAAAAAGGCATTTTAAGCTACTGAAAAACTCCTGTCATAAAATAAAAAAGCTAAATATTAAGGGCACTCTATTCTTTGAGAGTACATCGAGTAATGGCAGTAGACTTTCTCTATTGGTAATCTCTGTCTTTAGTCTGGAATACTTCTCTTCCATTTAGCACTGGCAAATCCTGCTATGCATAATGGGAAAAGGCTTGTGAAGAAAAGGCTGTGAACAAAACAGGCACAAATTTTAAACGTGTGACTACAGAATGTACAAGAACAATCTCAGGAGGCTGGACCCTCATTTCAGATCTGGGTGGAAGTTGGTGAAAACTTCCCAATGAGCATTACCTGAAAAACAAGCTATTCTTTAAGAAAAACATCATGCTATTCCATATCCTAGGCTTCTCTTGATTAGGTCCAGTCTAGATGGGAAACCACATTACCACTGAAGAGTAGAACACTACAGTGTTCTTATTTTATAAAGGGCAACTTAAGGCTAATAGATACAAATGAAGTTTGCCTGCATTTTCCAGGTGAAAAAGAATAATAAAATAAGGGTCTTATAAATGGGTATAACTAACTCACCTTTTTCACTTGTGCTTCTTTAATCTTCTCTAATGCAACCCTAATCTTCTCAGCTTTCAGTTTAGCAGCCTGTTCCTCCTAGGGGAACACAACACACAATTCCAGTTAACACAAGTTTCAGTCAGGTTTCAGTGGCTTTGAAGCTACCATGCTCTAAAAAATGAACTAAAATGCTGATTTGCTCTCCTATAAATGTCCAACTATTTTCTAGTGATGATGAAAACTATTACTTTTTAAAAGTGTTCCTATATTTAGAGATACAACTGCCATTAACTCCAAAGGAACATATTGGAGGAATATATTTTGTCTAGACATTTCTCTGTTCTCCTGTTCTGTAAATACCCTTATGCTACCAAATACTTTAGCATATTATATATTTACAGTCACAGCTTGGGACAATACAAATTCAACAAGAGTATACAATGGAGTACAGCCAACAGACTTTTGGTTGATCAATATAAAACGCAAAGAGCATGCCAAGAGGTACCCGAATTTAACAGCACACAGAAAGAAGGGAAATAAATCCTATAACTAGGATCTAGGATTCCATACTACATGCATTAGTTTGAAAGATTTTAAACTGTTAAATCCATTTGCAGTAAGAGATCTGAACACTCACTTTGTCTTTACTAATTCCAAGTTGTCTTCCTCCTTGTTTTAGGTATTTTAAGATAGATACAAGGTCAATAAGCATTTTTTTTGCTCTTCTATGTAATAGGTTTTTACTACAATTGGAAATGCACTAAAAATTCAGGTAGCTTAAATCTATTTGCTGATGCTAAAGAAAACTGTGTCTTTTTAAGACTAGCAATAAAGATTTTTAAATTCTGGAGATTACAGATATTTCTTTGAAATTGCATTTGAAATATGAAGCTAAAAAGCAACCACTGTTTCAAAAATTACATATGCAGTTTTCAGACTTTCAAAATCTTATACTGTGGATCTTCATTGTAATTAATATCTAAAACCATAATTACTCTAGCACAAACAAGTCTATTAAAATACACAAAAATCCCTTCCAAAATATTCAGAACCCTTAAAAAAGAATAATTCATATTTTTTTCCAGAGCTAAAGTACCACATCCCATCACAACATTCATCACACTATAAACATTTAGTTCTCTATTGCTTTATTCTGTGGATGTAATTTATAGTTTCTTTACCATGTGTTTAGATGGTTGCTTTTCTTGTATAAGTCAAGATTCAGCTATTCTGAAATCCAGAGAGTTTAAGTTTTGGCTTCTTAATAAATTACTAATATTCATATCAACTGCTAAAGAACATTTCCTTGTTATTTACTGCACTCTCAGTAGCTTTTGGTCCTTCACATCTGTGACCATCCTGTGCATGAGAAAAAAACATCAGCTAGATAGACCAGTATGCTGCCTTGAAACATAATTCTTTTCAATAAAATGAAGGAGTAAGTTGACATGAACAGAAATAATGTGAGCCTGAAACCTTATCTGGGCACTGAATTACCCCAGAACATGGAGTTTACGAGTCTACAGGGAACTACAGCTTTTTATTCACAATAGCAATGCTGTCCTATAGCTTAGAAAGGTTAAATCAGACTAGCATTCCATGAAAAACAAACCACACCATGATAACAGGAATCTTTTATTCTTCCTATTTCTTATCATTAACCATTTCAATGTGTAGAAATAAATTGTTACTAAAAAATGAGGCTTCACAGCTCCAAGCCTGACAGAGCTCATAGAAGCGCTTGGACAATGCTCTTGGGCCTATGGGGTGACTCTTGGGGATGTCCTAAGCAGGGCCAGAAGTTGGACTCAATGACCCTTGTGGGTCCCTGCCAACTGAGCTTACTCAGTGATTCTGTGAGAGACTTGTCAGTTTCTAAAAGTGATGCTATGCACCTGTTCATCATGAAATCAGCAAAAGCAAAATACTCATTTTATCATGTATTTGGAGAAACTGTTATTCATGGTTTTGAAAAGCTGCTCATTAACCCAATCATTCCAACCTATTTCACTGTACACCAGTGCAAAGCACCAGGAGCACCTGCCTGCCACAGTGCACAGGCAGCAAGACCAGGGCAAGCAACAAGCAGCTGTGACCTCTCATATACCTGTGCCAATACAGGCTAGAATATCTACGGTGACCTCAAAGTTTATAATCCACCATCCCCTAAAATGCTTTGGAAAATAGATAAATATGTAGACCAAAGAAGATTTTAAGGACTTACTATTTTAATATGTACCAATTACTTTCAATTTCCTACTCAACTTAATGTGGGTCCAGAGATTAGGATTCCTTATACTTACTCGAGTTTAACATAATCAGTTTAAATTAAAAAAAAACCTCAAAACAAAACAGAATTACAATTATCAAAATAAGAACTGGTTTCAACGAGCAAAAAATTATAAAAAGCGGTCTGAATTTACTAACCGGAAAACACAGTGACAAAAAGAAAGCAAGAATTCAAAATTTCAAAAAGCATAGAGTAGTCAAAGATTTTAAGCTATTTTGAGCAGTAATAAACCAAAATAGATTTTAAGCTATTTTGAGCAGTAATAAACCAAAATTTTCAAAAAGCATAGAGTAGTCAAAGATTTTAAGCTATTTTGAGCAGTAATAAACTAAGCTCAGGCCACTGCTGCATCACTGCTGATGTGGCAAACAATGTTTCACGGGAGAAGAATGAAGAACTATATATTTTGATTCCTTAATAAAATAATTTAATAACTCCCCAAAACTCACAATCATGTATTGTTTCTCTCCTAATGGTCTGAGAAAAAAGTCCCCTGCCCATCAAAGTCACCCAGAACCATCAGTTAGACACATACACAGGTGTCTCCTTCCCCTGTACATGAAAGCAGCACTGCTTCTATCCAGGAGGAAGCACGTGGCGCCCATCAGCTTGTACTAATAAGCTAACAGCCCTTTTCACTGCATGGGAGACAGGTGACAGACGGCAAAAATACCCGACTGCAAGTGCAAACTATTTAAACTGTTCAGTGCCACCAATCAACAAGGCCAGCACCTGCAGTCCAACCACATCTACCTTAAATATTTATTTCCCCTTTGCTAGCCAACCCTGGGAACAGTGATGGAGTCGCTGAAGGATTACAAAGATGCAGGTAAATGGCAGGACTGCTGCGCTGCCACAGCTTCGCAGGCGGTACAGACAAAGGCGATCCCTGCGATGGCCACACAGCTGCGCCAGGGCCCCGCACAGCCTCACCGCTCACAGAGCGCTCGGGCCCCGCACAGCCTCACCGCTCACAGAGCGCTCGGGGCCCCGCACAGCCTCACCGCTCACAGAGCACTCGGGCCCCGCACAGCCTCACCGCTCAGAGAACGCTCGGGGCCCCGCACAGCCTCACCGCTCACAGAGCGCTCGGGGCCCCGCACAGCCTCACCGCTCACAGAGCCCCCGGGCCCCGCACAGCCTCACCGCTCACAGAGCACCCGCAGCGCTGCTGCCACACGGCTCCCTCACACACTGAACTGGGGAACTGACACAGCAGGCACGAGTCAGCAGAACCCACTCCCTGCTTACACTGCCGCACAGGCACAGGCAAGCTTGGAAACACACCGAGGAGAGACACACACACACACTTTATAGAAACACAAAACATAATGGAGAGTCATTTCCAACTCTGTCAGGAAAAGGATATTCTTTTATAGTAGCAACATGCATCACTGTCAAACTGTAACAAATTCCTCACTTAACAGGACTATTCTGGAACTATTGTTACACTTGTATTTTAAAGCTTTGAGCTAAGATTACTTTTGGTTATGGAAAACATTGCACCTGATTTAAAGAATACTTGGCAACATACTTATGTATAGAACCTGTTAATCCAAAATATTCAAACATATCGTGAACCAAAATGAAAATTGCATATGTCTGCAGTGCAATGGTCTTAAATGAATGATGATCTTCTCCTGGCATCAATATACCAGAACTAAGTTTTGAATAATTTTAGCCTACAGTGAAATATCAGAAAGAATAACACAAAAAAATATAAAGTTAAGATTTCTGTAATAAAATGTCAAACCCTGTTTCCTCAACCAGTTTCCAATTATATATGCAGTTACAAGATATTCCAGCTGTGTTTTAGCAATAAAGATGTGCAAGATGCATGCAACAGTGGAGCTGACCTTGCTTAAAAATTTTTGTGCCTTGCATTTCTACGTTGGGGTTTTATTTTTTCTTTTCTTTTATTTTTTTTTAATGTTATTAACTAATCTCTTTTACAGAGATAACAAGTGGAATGGAATGGAAACAACAAGGGGAGGGGGGGATCACTTAACAAAGGTATTTAGAAAAGCCAGTAATTAAACGGAAAGAGATAAGTAACTATGTCCACATTGTATTTAAGTAAGCAAGGTAGATACACAAACTACAAAATGCATAAAATTAAGAAATTTCTTCTCTGTTTAATATTTGAGGGTTATTTCTGATTTTTTTCTTTGAACACAGATTAGAAGATAACTAAATACACAAGTAGCACTGACTTCTGAAGGACTAAGATTAGGTATCTATTGTTTATTTTCCCAACTACAGTCTAGCCTTGGGTTGAAAGGCAATCATCTGTTTAGCAAGGACTCTTCCTTCTTGCAGAGCTTGTACTGCAACAGAGATTCCTGTTACCAGAGAACAGCATATTAACATCTCCATTTGTACCTAATTACCCAAAACTTCAAGGCACTTTTATTAGCCTCATATTTAATGTATATCAGACTGAATACTAATGCCATTAATGAAGTTTTTTCTGTTGATTGCTTTAATTTATCATTAAAAAGAACACTAGAACAAGAGTGTATGTGATCAGCACTAAAACCAAAGGTGTGAATATTAAGAGCAGTTCTTCTCTATTTCTTGATGAACTCACTAGGACAAGCAGAATACTCCTACCCTAAAAGTGTGCTGCAATCATGGCACGGTCCAGTGAACTTGTGTTTACAGTAGTATTTCATGGTCATTTTCAAAACATATGTTTATTGCATTTCTTTTCATAATAACTCTAAATAACCTCTAGCTGGGTAAAGCAGAAAGGGAAGCAAGACATGAGTATCTGAAAGCTCACTAAATGTACGTGTGCATTCACCCTGGTGAAGGGTTCATCCTCCCTAATGTAGACTCACCACATATTTCTTCCTTCTTCCTTCCCAGTTTAGTACAGACCTTTCTATACCTCTGGACTATTCCTGACATTGTCAACATATTGCACTATGTTACCAAATACAGAAATGGCTGTGAAGTGGTACTATTGTTTTAGGGGCTGTGTCTGAGAATTATTCACCTGAAAAGGTCTCAGATATTACAATGTTACTACACTTGGGTAGTGCCAGATTCTTCCTTTGTTCTACTTCTTTGTTCACAATTCACACACTTTTTGCTATTAGAAGCCTATCTCAAACACAAAAGATGGCTCCTGAATGGAAATTGGAAAGCAGCAGTTACACACTTGCTCAATCTCAAAGTCACACCGGCTCTAGTCACAATTTCCCACAGAAGGCAACTTCTTCCTCACAGTCTTCCTCACAAAAGAAGCCCCACATCACTAAGGAAGATGCTGAAAAGTCCTGCATCTGCTACTGACCTCTCAGGTGTACCACTGGTTAATGCCTCCAAACAGACCTGAACCCTTTTGAGATTACCCTTCAAGGTATGGCAGAACAGAACCTTAATCAGCAGAGATGTGCATTCCACTGTCTAGATTTGACAATGCTGGTGGCTTTGATTAAAAATAAAAAATCCAAAGGAATTTCACTGGCTCTTTATGCCTTGAAGCATCTGCACTACATTATCACCCACCTGCCTCTGAACAGGACCTGCCTAGTAATGGCTCTAGGCCAGGCTTCTCACCAGGGCAAACAGTTATACAAGTACCAATACTGGGATCTGGGACCAGGAGAAAAAAAGTGCAGAGGAGGGGAAGAAACCCAAACAAACCAGGCAGAAGAACAGGCACTAGAAAGCACAGTAAGGAAGTCTGAGAGAGGAAAGGTGACTACAATGTAACAGAGGAGACATTACAACTAACTGGCAAGGAGTTTTTGTTGGACAAAAAGCTCAAGGGATATGCGGAACGGGGCACAAAGATTTCAAAACACTGGTTGATTATATAACAATGCAACTACAATAGATTAATATAAATAATACATAAATTATATTTTTATTATTATGACAAAGTATATTTTACCATAATAAAAAAGATAAAAGGTGACATTAAATTTACATATGACATAACAGCTGACTCGAATTATATTTTTATTATTATGACAAAGTATATTTTACCATAATAAAAAATATAAAAGGTGACATAACAGCTGACTCAGAAAGCTTTTAGACTGTCCTTACATTCTTTGCACATTAGAAATCAATTGCTGTATTTTTAAACAGCATTAAAAAAAAATCTCAGATGCTTAACTCAATCTGAATCAGAGTGGATTGAGATACATGAAGCCAACATCACAACTGATTTAATCAAAAGTCTGATGGAATGACCAAAATCTACAAAGCAAGGGAATGAACATCCATAAGAAGGATTTTTGTCTTTCAGGTCAACAAGAAAAGAAAAATTACATACGTCCTATTTGAGAAGAAAAGGTACAACATGGTTCCTTTCCCTCCAGATGCTGACACACTATCTGCATCATTACTTCATTTAATCAGTATCATGTGTCTTCCTGAATGTAGTTGCAGCTTCCCATGCATCAGAACAGTAAAGAAATGCTCACTTCAAAATCCAGCATATTACATTTCTATTTTCATGGGCAAAACTGAGATGTATTTGAGCCCTGAATAGTCTCTCAAAATTATTTGCATGTACTCTTAATTTCACAGTACTAAGCTTAGTTTTCAATATTCATTATAGGGAAACAAGCTTGCAGATTTGACAAAAAAGCTACATTGCTTTATTTTTAATATTCAATAACTTACATTACACATATGCTTTCACTTCTTTCAGTTTTCAAGCAAAGGCTTGAATGCTGTGTGAACAGTAACATCTGGAATTAGATCTAAAAACGAAGGGCTCACCAAAACAAATACATAATTTTCTGTACTGAGATCTACTCTATGCTGCAACAGGAGCTCTATGTGTGCATGGCTGTGATGCAGAAGGGATCTGCATGGCTAGAATTTTTAAAATTAGTTATATTAGCAGAGGACAAAAATGGTTTGTTCTAGTCTCAATATAAGATGCAGACATACCAGAGAAGGGGAAGAAACAGAAGCAGGTAAAGACAGTAAGAAACAGTTGACACACCAGGAACACCAGCACAGACCTGCAACATGATCCTACAGTCAAATGATCTAACACCTTGGTACAAGGAAATGCCCCCATTTATGGGACTGCTTCACTCATAGAGAGTCTTATCCAAAGTTACAACAAGCTGAAGAGATCTAAGCAGCAAAGTGGACTTCCATTTCATCGTTTTGCTAAAGGTATCTCTTATTGCAGCAGGTCAGAAGAGAACCAGTAAGTTCCATGGCAGGCCTGTGTGCTCAGGAGTCAGAAGTGGAAGGCACAGCTGTACTGAAACAGTCACAAGCTGACCAACATTACCCTCAGGAAATCAGAAGGCTTGCCTAAAGCACCTGAATCAGAGAGCTATGAAGCCTAATTAACCAACACAAAGAATTATAAATACAAACATTAACTTTGGAGTCTATTAGAATATCTGATAGTACTTCATGGTCATATGACACAAAGGGATCATTTAATGCACTTTTTAAAATTAAGTTCCTGTATGGCAACTAACACTCATCCCACATATAAACAACCAGAAGGGAGGATCTGCAGACACATGGAGATGAAAGAAAATTGTGGTTTCTTTGTGCCACAGCTGTTGTTAATCTATTTGCAATCAAGCCAATTGCTGTTTTGGTGGTTGTTTGCTTTGTTGGGCAGTGCAAAGGGGCAAAAAGCTATTGGGGTCAAGGCAGAGGTATGGACTTAAAATTTAAGCAAAACAATCACAAGAGCAGAAGATTACTTGCTTTTGGCTGTTTGTACTCCTCTGCAAGACAGCCTGAAAATCTGTTGTCAAGATACATGCTGAGCATCTTGAGAAGAATATTAAGATATTTTAAAAAACCCCAGTAAACCAGTTTCATACTTTCATTGCTAAATACAGCCTACTTATGCCCAATGAACATTATCCTTATTGTCTTGGGGTCACCAAACTGCATTTTGTTACTTCAGGCTTGCCTGAGGTCTTTTCAGTAGAATGTCTGTGAATTAAAAAAACCCCACATAGATATAGTTTTGAAGTATGTATTAGCATCAGCAACATCTGACACCTCGGCTACATGAAGCTGTTTGTCCTTCATCCCAGCCTGTATTTTCACCAGCGATTCATAGCTTGCTCCATCACTTGTCCTCTGGTTTCAAAAGGAAAGACATATAAAAGATCTAATTCTTAGCAAATTGAATGACAATTTGTGATCTCTTAGTACATTACTGACCTCCTTCCTGTGAAGAAAATTAATTTATAATCAAGACTTGTACATACTTGGCTCATTAGACCACTCTTACTACTATATTCTCCCCACATTATATTAAGTCAACATTCAAAACATTATAAAAAAAAATTTCATTACTTACTAGTTTGTCTTCAATACAGCAAGAGTTATATTAAGTCAACATTCAAAACATTATAAAAAATATTTCATTACTTACTAGTTTGTCTTCAATGCAGCAAGACAGCTTATTTTAAGGCTACTAATGGCTTTTAAAACTACTAAACACTCCCATATTTTTCACTAGGATCTTTTTTTTAAACTAGTGAATGGCAATAGGAACAAAAGAACTTCCAGCTCAGTACATTTCCTTTTCAACTAAGGCATTTTACCTGCTAATATGGCTATTAAGTATTTGTCAAGAACTTGAACACTTTGATAAATCTGCAGAAACAAACAATACAATTCAGTCTTTAAAAGTGCCTTGGATAATCAGGAAAATCATGTAAGTAAACGCAGAAGTTTCTGGAAAGGGCAGGGGTGGAGAAGCATAGCACACACCAAAAGCATTCTTTCTACAAAGAAATAGTCACATACAGTAGAAAGAAGCATCATCACCTTGGTCAGCAAATGAGAAGGCTTTCCTGCAATGTTTCTCAGAAGAAGGGAGGTTTCCCTGTCCAAATAGGAGTGCTTGTGCAGAAAGAAAGAGAAAGAACATGAGTCAAAGGAAGTCAGTATAGTAATTTCATGGTGTCTTGATTACAGAAGATAAAGCAGAGTTTAAAAGAAAAAAAAACCTACATCATCATTTTTCCCCTCCCATAAAAACATTCCCAAATACTATGAGCGTATTGATACACTGATGTAAAAGCAATTGTACTTTTACACAAGACACTAATAAAAACTTCTCCTGTACAAGATGTCATACAATAAAATTAAGAAAACTTTTGCTTACCTGCCACTGGTTTCCTTTCTGCAAGAGAAAACTTATTTATAAAGACATTTAGAACTGTAAAAGTAATAAAATACACTCTTACAATGCTTTTCAAAATCCTGTCCAGTCTCCTAAAACTAAACATTCTACTTTCACCACGCAAACATAGAGCCACTATAAACCGGTCATCAGGGAGACATCCTAGTTTTATGCTTTCTACATGGGTTCCTGTTTAATTCTTAAAGAAGAAAGATATTATCACGACAATAAACCAACCTAACTTAAAATTCCTGTCCTTTTTAAAAAATTACTTAAGTCTCTCTCCTCTTGTATAGTCCAAATTATAAAATTACAAATCCCTGTGCTTCTCTTGGAAAGATCAATCAGCAGAAAATATATTTTCATCTGTTTTCAAAATGGGAAGGAAAATCAGTAAAGGGAAAGCAGCCAGTAGAGAAAGACAGAAATCAGTTAATGAAAGATCCCAGGTTATCTTCTCCAGCACGTGCTACAAGCAACAAAGCCATCATCATAGGCAGCAGCTTGCAGAACCACAGTCTAGTCTGCTAAGGAAATTAGACTAGTACTGTGGCACTTAACAAGAGCATTCAAACAATTTAAAAGAGCATGAAGAAAATCTCCTGTGTACCACCACCATACTGCAAGATTTGTCCCATGTGGTTACAATTGTCTCAGCCTTATTTGTTTCAGTGCTATATATGACAACTATACATGCCTATTATACTTTTGTTTAGTTATTAGCAATACAGAATCCCACCTCTTCTTCGGTGCCACAATAAGGTAAAGACTGAAAAAAATGAAGAGCCCATGTCTACAACTTCCTTGTTGTGCAAGGCAGTATCAAATAGTTTGGAGAATACAGTTCCTGCAGGGAGACTTTACCTGATGTGATTGCTGCATGCTGGGATGAGCAATTAAGGGTCTCAAGGAGGCTTTAAAAGTTACACCTGAGGGAAGACTCTACACAGCATTTGAAATTAAACCCAGGCTCCAGCCAAAGCTCCACCTGGGTATTTAGCCACTAATATAGACACAGGTTATGTTACAGAGTAAATTATTTTTCTGCTTGCATATTAATTACTGTCTGTATTTATATCATATGTTTTAGACACACAGAAGTCCTGCCTAGCTCAAACCACACTACTGAGGGCTTGTAATACCTGGTATAATTATTCACAGTCGTACTGAATTGTATTCTTTCTTACACAGAGGCTCTAACTTCCCAGAGTTTCTTCATGGAGTTCTTGTCAGTCATTATGGACTGATTAATATGGATCACTTTCTTGGTGAATGGAGCACTGCAGTAGAAGAACACTACAATGTACACTTGCAGCCTCTTCCTCAAGAGCTTAGTCACCTTCTGTCTTAGCCTGTAAGTCAACAATAGTGTCAGGATAAATATAGGATATTGAATCACTCCTTAAAGGAAATACTACTTGCTGGAGAATATTACTCCTACAGGGAAGGTCAAGGTAGGTCAATTAACCTTCTTCCAGTCTTAGTCATCTCGGCTGCTGCTATCTTGTATTTAACTACATTAATCTGCACTAAGGAAATTCTACCCACAAATGGGAATGCCATATCCTTCTTACAACATAATAGCCACTTGAAACTTTGATAGTGATATTTTACAGGAATAGGGGTTGGCCAGTAAAATGTGGAACACCAATGTGATGACAACTACCTATGTGAATTGGAGCTGCAGAGCTCACATGCCTAGAAACAGGAAGGCAACAGCTCTCTTCCAGATGGTTTTTGTGCATGGCTTCTTCCTACCCTATAACAAATTCTGCACTACTGCACATACCCAAAAGTTAGAATGAGCAGAAGTAGCAAAGCAATAGGAAAGCCCAAGTTGTAGAAATTGTAGCTCAGCTAAACAGTGACTACACACACATAAAAATTTTAAAATATTTGGCATGCACAAACTAGGAGATAACAAATTAAATTTCATTTTAGAACAATGTATTACTTTCACAATCCAATTTTAAAGCATTTAGTCTATTTCAAAGAAAGACTTCAGCTCAAACATCAAGCTTTAAGACAAACAGATGTTGCTCCTAGAATATTCCATCATTTGGGGGAAGACAAATATTTTATTATTTTTTTCTAGATAGTACAATCACAATGGTTCACAAAGGGGATCTGAATACCCCACTCTTCCTCTCTATTTAAGAACTTGAAATATGTACAAAAGCCTGATCTTGCCAAACAAATCAACCTACTTTTCTGCCCCAGGTACTTCACTAGACTAAAAAGAACAGCAGTCAAATCCAGGAAAACCAAAACATTAATTACTCCTAGAGAGACATTTCTAGTCTTCTACCATGAAAGGCATCTGTTCTTCCACCTGCTCCTACCACAACAATGAGAACTCAAGCTCTAGCAATGAAGTTCTCTCTCCCCCAGTGCCTCACCTTAGATTTACCTAGGACATAAAACCAATTCCAATTCCATAAATGAGTACGTGTCCCTCCCACTCCTGCAACGCCACGCATTTTTCTATCCTGCTGCAGTAAGCTGACTGCTTCTCCAGTACAAGCCATCATTTCTTAAAATGGCTATTTTCAGTTTAAAGGTTTTTTCCAAATTGTCACATTACCAGAATTAAATGTGGTTGGAATGTAAAAGTAGTCTGAAACACAATGGAAGCATCAAAATTGACAACAGCTTCAGAGAAGACAATACCAGGCAATCCTTTATGCTAAGCATGAAATTGTAGAAGAAGCAGACTGTAACAGTGCTGGAAGAGTATTTAATTCCTGCAGTCACTAAAATACTCAGTGCAGCTAATTCAACATTAATAACACTAAGTCAAAACAACTAATGCCTAATTTACCAAATTCTTTGAAAGATCACAAATCTCTACATCAGCACTCAGGGGGGCAAACAAAAAAAGTATACAACATTTGCACAGTCTAAAGCTACCTACAATTATTTACTTCTACTAGATGTTGGGCTTTTTTAAGTTGTATTTTTTATGTGTAGTACAGCTTTCTTGAAATCCAGCCATTAGTAATAGCCATACCTTGTTATAAGGTTTTGTATAAAATTATTACTGCAAATGCAGTAAAAATGAAAAAGCTTATTAAAACTTATTTCCATTATACGTACGTAAAACCATTCACTTAACAGACACTAGCAAACAGTAAAATCTTCTATTAAAAGGGATCTATTTGTCACTAGAAGAATTTTAAAACCAACACTTTTACTTTGATAATATACATGATTATTAGGGAGCCAGACTCCACTCAGGATTCCCAGTTAATCCACCATCACTACAACTCAGGCAGAACTCAAAATATCATAGGTCCAGTGAGCATCCAGGAAGGAAAAAGTGACAGGGCTTTAAGGGGACTCTTAAAGAGGCAAAATGAAGTTTACTTTCATCACAAGAAATCTCTCAATATAAATCCTGCTACTAGACTTCACACCAGGAAGCTGGGACAGGCAGTAGCACTGTAGCCCAAAACTCACTTGGTTTGTTTCTTGATATATTCTTCAAAAAGTACTCTTCTTTCCCTAAAACAATCAAACATGAAGCCTACCATCAGGTACTAAGTATGTTTACAACTTTTCTGTGCCACAATCACTTCTTTTGGAGACAACTTTAACACAATGCATAGGAAGCTATTCACTTCTGGTTTAGTCCTTCTCATAATATGGACCATGCTTCAAACTAAGTTGCAGGAACTCAATCTAGTTTAAAAACCTGAACAGTGAAAAATAATGAAAGAAAACTCATCAAAGCCAGGAAAACCATTTTATACCACGTAGAAGCAGCCAGTGATGACTGTTTTGAACTGTGTCATATTTTAATTCCTAGCAGCAATTATTCCAAGTCATACTGAAAACCATGGATGTTTACTAATAAAAAAATCGTCAAAATACTGAAAAAAATGCTGATAGGAAAATCAACTTTCTACAAAATTAAATTTATACCTTTCTCAACGGATGCCAAAACAGCCATGCACAAAAATACTTTGTGCAAAAACAATTTTACTTAAAAAATTTCAGATATGATGATTAAAATATCTAAAGTAACAAAACCCAATAAATAAGACTACTAATGTCTCTGAATAAACTGCAGCTGCTGAGGATAATCTACAACATAGAAAACTAGATTTAAGCAAAATTAGCATTAACACTTAAGAGTTCTAGATGCTGTTAGGTCAAAAAAATTAATTGTGTTCACGTGCAGTTCATTCAGCAAAGACAGCTAGCCTTGATGTTTGTAAGAACACGGACTAAAATCTTCTTCCAAATTACATTATGGACATAAAAGATTTCCTATATCCTTTCTTTGAAGACAGAAATGTAACATCCACCTTCAGATCTAAATACCAGATGTTCATGGACCAGCTGTTGAAAATTGCCTTTCCGTGTTTTCAGGAAACTCAACACGGTACAAATACACAGCAGCTGCTTATGCAAGATGGTTTTTACAATACTGAAATATTTTTATACACATCACCAATCAAACCTACCAAGCATGTTTGCTAAACATGATAGAACAGATGGGCTATCAGGAAAATGAAAATACCTTTCAGATTTTCAGAATATCATTTGTTGCACTAAACTAAACAACCAGTAATGCTCTACATGGCCAAAACCTCAAGATTTTCTCACCTATTATCCTTGTCGGTTCCATTATGTAATATTCACTGGGTTGTTTCAATTCTTGACATTAAAGAGATCTTGGGCTGAAAGTCAGTTTCAAAAAAAACCCAAACTG